TATCGCTCAATTTGCCTTCGATTGCGGGCCGCCATTTTACCTGGGGCAGCCATTCAAAAAAGGTCCTTTCTTTTTCGATTTTTATACCCTTGCAGAGGGTATTATAATTTTGGTCAAAAGTGTGCAACGCAGTGAAGGAGACATCTCCGACCCTATAAAGTATATATATTCTTGATCAGGATCACCTCCTGAGTTGATATAGCCATGTCCGTCTGTCCGTCTGTCCGTCTGTCCGTCTGTCTGTCCGTCTGTCTGTTTCTACGCGAACTAGTCTCTCAGTTTTAAAGATATCGAATTGAAACTTTGCACACACCCTTCTTTCCTTTGCACGCAGTATATAAGTCGGAACGGCCGGGATCGGCCGACTATATCCTATAGCTGCCATATAACTGATTGATCGGAAATGCCATAACTCTGCTGTTTGTTAGGTTAGGAAGTTGGGACTTTCTATGGGTTTTATATTTGGCCAATCAATCCGACGTACCAAATTTCATAAGGATCGGCCGACTATATCTTATAGCTGCCATATAACTGATTGATCGGAAATGCCATAACTTTGGTGTTTGTAAAGTTAGGAAGTTGGGATTTTCTATGGGTTTTATATTTGGCCAATCAATCCGACGTACCAAATTTCATAAGGATCGGCCGACTATATCTTATAGCTGCCATATAACTGATTGATCGGAAATGCCATAACTTTGGTGTTTGTAAAGTTAGAAAGTTGGGATTTTCTATGGGTTTTATATTTGGCCAATCAATCCGACCTATCAAATTTCATAAGGATCGGCCGACTATATCGTATAGCTGCCATATAACTGATTGATCGGAAATGCCATAACTTTGGTGTTTGTTAAGTTAGGAACTTGGGATTTTCTATGGATTTTATTTTTGGCCAATCAATCGGACCTACCAAATTTCATAAGGATCGGCCGACTATATCCTATAGCTGCCATATAACTGATTGATCGGAAATGCCATAACTTTGGTGTTTGTAAAGTTAGGAAGTTGGGATTTTTTATGAGTATTAAGAATGCATCATATGAATAATTTTGGAAAATATAATTTACAGAGTATTCTGCAAGGGTATATCAACTTCGGCTCCGCCCGAAGTTAGCTTTCCTTTCTTGTTTTGTTGTGAATCCTGTTGTCGACTCCTGACAACGTCGCTGTCGGCTATGAATTTGTATCGGTTTTCTTTCATTTGGAGAGCACAATTGTACTATATGCTGCAATTCTTGCGTTGTTGTCAATATGGTTTGGGAAATCCCTAAGAAGTAGACTACGAATATTTAAGTGGAGTTGCAGAAATGTAAGGACACAGAAAAATATGAACGATGATTTTGTAATAAGCTGTTTATTGGAATAGCGTTAAATAACATGAATTAGAAACATTTACCATTTAAACTTTTTCAGAACTTAGTTTTTTTAAGACTAAAGTTTTAAACGAATTTGGTTTTTGTAATTTTCTTAACTATTATTTCTATAATAAATAAATAGTAAATAATTCAATAATATTATAAAAGTACTTACACTTTAAATATATATACATACAAATTGGCCTTTTAGAACCAAATTTGTAAAACCAAAATGACAACCAACATTTTTAAATGCTAAGAAATATATCCCCAACTGCTTCCCTTTTATAAATAAGGTTTCAGTGTAACATGCCATGAGGAATTAAATCTGAGAGACAAAAATAGCTTAAAACCGAAAAAATAACGAAAAATATTTCAGCCAGACTGTCAAGTCAAATTACAAAGAAGAGCCTTTAAAACGTCCAAAAGTCCGAATGTCAAATACGAATGTGTGGGATTCCTCGTTTGCGTGCGAATGTGTAGGTGTTGCTGCCTTTGGCCACGCACATTTTGGCTTTTGGAAAATGGCCGAGACCAAAGAGACTGTGAGCCTCGAACGCTTGGCAGCTCATAGGCGTACGTCTCGTCCTCGTCTCACCAACCGACTAACGGATGGCCGAAAGCGCTTGAATGCACTGGGAATAATAACAGATCGAACTTTACTTGATAGCAAAGTAATATAAACATAAGGTTGGGTTAGGATGCACTTTTAGTTTTAATTACTTTCGAAATGGAAATCGATTGTTTTTAAAATATAAGAAAGGTATAGAAAGAAATTGGGATGTTTAAAAAAAGAAAGAAAATTTATATAAATATATTTATATATTTTAGAAAAATTGTTTATATTGAAAAAGTTTTTTATTTTTAGAACTATTAGTGGTTTTCATTTAATAAACATATTACTTTGAAATCGAACTATGTATATTTAAATGTGTTTTAGAAAAAATAATGTCAATACTGTATGAGCTAAGCTAGTATAACCGCAGATATAATTTCAATTAGAATACTAAAGTTATTGAACTTAAGATACAAATCATTTGTATAAATGGGAACACTTTGAATTGGTGGGACAAAAGTATATTAAAATAAAAAGGATTTAAAAGTCACAATAATGATTTTATTGGATAATATGAATTGAAGAGCAATCAAAGTCGAATTTCTTTATGTGGCTTTTGTGGGGCTTGAGGGGCTGAGGGGTCAGGGGTCAGGGGGTAGTAGGTGCGCAGACGTGCTCTCGATCAGCCGGTCGGCCGAAGTCAGTCAGTCAGCTATTTAACGGCTTTAAGGTCATTTTCACAGTTACGAAACAATGACACAACAATAAGCAATGGCAGCCAAGTGCGCACACATACATTAACACATACACATGCAGGCAGGATATGGCAGGGAAGAAGAAGAAAGAGCCAAGCTGCAGTGCAAAACAATACAAACATATTTATGTGTATTTTTAGTACACTACAGTGTGTTTTCCAACCGAATTTGCCCACAAAACGAGAGAGCACACAAGTGGAAAAGAGACGGGGCTACGAATGCCAGAAAGAGAGGGCTGTCAAGGAGGGGGGGTTGGGAAGTGAGTAAAAAGCCGAGTTGAAAAGAGCTTTTCGAGAGACCACTCCCCGAAAACTGCAGGCGACGTCGACGCACACAAAACAACCAATCCCAGGCACAAACACACAAAAAAGCCAAAAGAAAACCCCCCTCCACACACACACATACACGCATAGACGCACACGCATATGGCAGTGGAAAATGGAATGTGGCAAAGTGTTACAATGCAATTTCCCCGCCGTTTTGTTTTTGGCGACCAACCCAAACTCAATTGTTGAGGGCAAAAACAGAAGTAGCAGAAGATGAAAAGCGAAAAAAGGCCAGTCTGGAAAACTGGCACAGTCGACACAACAGCAACAACAACGCAAACATTTGGCACAGGGTGCAGCCGAATCAGCTTTCCAATTGGAAGTGCTAAGGGTTGGGTTTCCCCATTCCAGCCGTGATTATGTCAGCCCCTGTACATGTGCGTCTGTGTGTGTGTGTGCAGACCACCCCCTTCCACGATGAGCAGTGCCATCGTGTGCCGTTAGTCGTCAGTTGCTTTCCAAGCCTCGAAGTTGCCGCTCGGTTTTTTCCCCGGTCATTCGTGCAGCTAAAATTCTGTGATAACGGTTTTGACAAGCCAACCAAAAAAAAAAAACAAAAACCAAAACTAAAACTAAATAAATAAAAAACGGAAAATTGCTAGGAAAACCCCTTATCTTGGCCTTCGGCGAAAGCATACAAAATGTGGATTAAATCAACAGAAACCACAGTGTGAAATAGTGAAAGTGATGGTGGATTGGTTCGCATAGAGCTAGAAACCAATCAGCAATTTGCATACCAAGGAGCGACGGGATTTCCACCGCCAACAGCAATGGAACTTTTGAAACTAATGATGTTCAAAAGTGACTTCCTGTCCAATGGCAAATGTGATGATCGCGTACCGCCGATTAATTTGAGTCAATTGCCAGAGTTCTTACTATGTAAGTCGCAATTGGGAAAGGATAATGGGTTACGACCTCGGTTTTTCACATCGGACCTGCACTCTTAGTGGGTCATAGGGGAAAATAGCTGGAAAACTTATGCCTCCACAAGGTGTGGGACATGGCAACAAGAAAATGAAAGCCTTCAATGAAATCAGAAAATCTATTTGATTTCAAGACATACAAATTTTGTTTCTTAAACTTTGGTTTACAAAAAGCTAGAATTTTATCATTTTATAATACCATATAAGTTAATATTATGAAAAAAAGGAAATTATTAATTTGCTACGATTTTCATTAGTCAATCGTCAAGATAAATGACCAGAATTCCAATAAGGTATAATCAAAATATAATTGTGTTTAACATGTTTAACATGTTACAACAATAACATAAGAAAATGAAAAAAAAAAGAATTTCAAAAGCAATTTTTAGTATTTTTAGCAATAACATAAAAAGTTGTTATGAAAGAACTAAAAATGCAATATAGAATGCATTACAAAGTCTTTTGCGTCAACTTGTTAATTCACTCGAAAAATAATCTTCTCTGGATAATTAACTAAACTAAAATGAGTTTCTACAACATAAAATTAACGAAAACACACCTAATCAAAAATTGGGTAATTCATAAATCGCTCAGTGCCGAAACAGCAATATACTTTAAAAGTTTCTAATTCAATTCCTACGTAACATATGTATGTAAAATACAAAGTACGTTAGAAAAAAATATTGTTGTAAAATCCGTAAGCCGACACAAATTTTCTTTATTAGGTGCATAAAAATCGAATTTTCTTTAATTCTTTTTTGGAAAAGCCATGTTATGAATCACTTTTTTTTTTTTTCAAAAACTTTGGACTGTAAAACTTTGTATGTTCAAACCAGATAATAACGTTTTCTATATAGTGACTTTTTAAATAGACGACAAAATCAAATTCAATTTAAAATCAAATAGCTCAATTAAATATTGTTTTGATTTGATTCAGTACATTTGTATCTGTGTTAGTCGTAAAAAGAAAAACAACAAACAGAATGGGTAAAGAAAATACAAAGGCTATTACTGCGAATGCAAACATAAACCCACATATATATGATCGATAGCAATTAATTGGATATTTTCGGGCTTTCTTTTAGCTACGATCCCCAAGTGCGGTGGCTGCCACGAGCTGATCCTGGACCGTTTTATCCTGAAGGTGCTGGAAAGGACGTGGCACGCCAAGTGCCTGCAGTGCAGCGAGTGCCATGGCCAGCTGAACGACAAGTGTTTCGCGCGGAATGGCCAGCTCTTCTGCAAGGAGGACTTCTTCAAGTAAGTAAATTTCTCAAATGCCAAATAAATGTATGCTTCCTTGTCGTGGCCAAATTGGTTTAATGAAAAATCTCCTTCCATGTCGCATTTGCCAATGTTCGGGTCGAACAGACGTTACGGTACAAAGTGTTCCGCTTGTGATATGGGCATACCGCCCACGCAGGTGGTGCGTCGGGCCCAGGACAACGTCTACCATCTGCAGTGCTTCCTGTGCGCCATGTGCTCCCGCACCCTGAACACCGGCGACGAGTTCTACCTGATGGAGGATCGCAAGCTCATCTGCAAGCGGGACTACGAGGAGGCCAAGGCCAAGGGTGGGTGATCCACTAATAACTTCCTTTAGAGGATCTCCTTAATATTATGGAATTCTCTCCCCCCTCAGGCCTCTATTTGGATGGCTCCTTGGATGGCGATCAGCCAAATAAGAGACCGCGCACCACGATCACCGCCAAGCAGCTGGAGACCCTGAAAACCGCCTACAACAACAGCCCCAAGCCCGCCCGCCATGTACGTGAGCAGCTCTCCCAGGACACGGGCCTGGACATGCGGGTGGTGCAGGTCTGGTTCCAGAACAGGTGCGTCCCTCTGGGTTCCTTTTTCCTTCTCTATCCGCTTACTAACACCACTGCATCCTTCGACAGGCGGGCCAAGGAGAAACGACTGAAAAAGGACGCGGGACGCACGCGATGGAGTCAATACTTCCGCTCGATGAAGGGCAACTGCTCGCCACGCACCGACAAATTCCTCGACAAGGATGAACTGAAGGTCGACTACGACAGCTTCAGTCACCACGGTGAGTCCTCGAGCTTATTTTGATTAGAAGGAAAACAGCTTAAGGCCCTGACAAAAAAATATGAATCCTCTGCAAGGCATAAGTCAGACAAAATGGACTTCATTACGTTTCCTTGAAAAACAATATTTATATTCTTTAAAACTGTGTACTAAGAAATGCTTCAAATTTAAAAAGGAATCGTCTATAGACAGTTAGTTAAAATTGTATAGGCAGTATTTTAGTAATAAGAATTTGGAAGTACAAAACAAAAAATGTTTGCTATGGAAAACCTCTTTTTAATAGAATTTCTCAAAGGCTCAAAAGACATATTTTGCCATTTAAAAACAAAGGAAAAAATCGAATTTACAGACAAACAAATGTTTGTCTTACCTTTATTTTGCTTTTACTCTTAATTTTTGCTTTCAAATAAAAGACATAACTTTTAAGTTAAAGGTATTATTATTATAATCCTCAAATTTTTGCAGATCTGAGCAACGACAGCTACAGCACCGTCAATTTGGGTCTGGATGAGGGCGCCTCGCCGCACAGCATCCGCGGCTCCTACATGCACGGCAGTTCGAGTCCGTCGCAGTTTCCGCCGAGCAGTCGCTCACCCCCGCCCGTGGGGCAGGGTCATACGTTCGGCACGTATCCGGATAATATAGTGTACACCAATATAGGTGAGTTTCGGATTGAGATATTACCTTGAATGTGTCCTAAACTTTTGCCCATTCAGATCAAGCGGTGGGCTCCAGTTTGCATGCCAACAAATCGCACCATCGCCTGCACAGTAGCAACAATGTCTCCGATCTGAGCAATGATTCTAGTCCCGATCAGGGATATCCCGATTTCCCGCCCAGTCCGGATTCCTGGCTGGGCGATTCGGGCAGCACGAACAACACCAGCGCCAACAACAATGCAAACAACAATAGTAGCAGCAACAACAACAATAACAGCAACAACAACAACAACAGCAGCAGCGGTGGAAGTGGCAGTGTTAGTGTTAGTACCGCCCCCAATTTGTCAGCGCCGGGCGTACATTACTGATACTCAAATTTGCTTTTGCGTTATTTTGAGATGCAGTCACGTAGTCTGCTGTTGGCGGCTGCCCAGCAGCAACATCAGCAACATTCATCGCAACTATAGCAGCGACGCCATATTGAAAGCTCACAACAGTAACAGCAGCAACACCAGATGTTGCAACAGCAGCAGAAATAGTAACAGCAACAGCAGTAAAATCTTGAGCTCCAACATTAACAGCAGCAATGTAAACAGCAGCAACATCAACAACAGCAACAACATTAACAGCTGCAACAGCAAGAGAAAAGCTTAACCCATGAGATATATATATATGGCAACGCTGTCGTGTGTGTCTTAACCCACATCTTATTGTTTACGCACTAAGCCTTTATAATTTTTAGTGAACAAACCCCAAAAAAAAACAACACAATTTGCTCAAAATCCTTGATTTCAATTCGGTTTGCCAACGGTGGGCTTAGCTTGAGAATACACCTTACACGGCTTGAATGTTACTAAGCGTTATGATTACATTTGTTCTTGAACGATTACTTCGCTCTATCATTTACATTCGTAACCCTGATATTTTATTGTAAATATTGTATATTTGTGTATAGTGAATGGAAACTAAAACTGAATTTTAAATTAATTAAGTCTGTATAGCGTCAAACAAATGCGGGGCATTGCGAGCACAACATTGGTTAGGCCCTGCCCCAAAAACAAAACAAAACAAAAAAATCAACAAGTTATTTATTGCTTTATATAGGAATACAACAAAATTGCATAGGAGAAATATCAATTACGAAAACGTGATGTCGTATTTATATCTAACAAAAAAAAAAAACAAATACAAAAACCAAAAAATATTTCAACCAAATAGAAATGTCAGTAAAACAGCAACTACGTAAAATGATAAAACGAATGCGATGAAATAAATTACTATTTGACACATAAGAATAAAAGACAACAAAAATTGTTAACCAGAAAGTTTTAATTCATTTTTTATGGTGGGTATTTTTGCTTAAGATAAATGGTAAATACTTTTTCAGTTTCCATATATGATTTAAACTAATTAAAAAATAGCATAAAACACTAAAATAAACGAAATTAAAGAAAGCTTTAAAGAAAGCATAAAAACATTTTCTCACAAGTATTCTATTAATACTCTGTCAATTAATTTTAATTCCTTAACTTTTAAAGTCAATTTTAATATAAGATTCAAAATGATTTTAAAATGATGTCCTTACCTGAAAAGTACGAGTACTCCGATCCTGTGGCCGTGTGCCATAAGTCCGATTTGCAGGATAACGAGATGAGGGAGGTGGTATTCAACGAGAACACCAATATCCTCTTGGTCAAGCAAAATGATATCCTGCGAGCGGTGGGCGGCACTTGTCCCCATCGTGGAGCTCCTTTGTCCAAGGGAGTCCTGCCCAGAAATCGTGTGCGATGTCCTTGGCACGGAGCCTGTTTTAATCTGGAAACTGGTGACATTGAGAACTTTCCCGGCCTTGATTCGCTTCCCTGTCACCAGGTGGAGGTCGAATCCAGCGGTCAGGTGCTGGTGCGGGTCAAACGATCTTATTTGGGAAAAAATCAGAGGACCAAGAAGATGTCCAGGCGTAACTGGCAGGATCAAAGATGCTTTGTGGTGGTAGGTGGTGGTCCTTCGGGGGCAGTCTGTGTGGAGACCCTGCGGCAGGAGGGCTTCACTGGCCGCTTGATCCTCCTTTGCCGGGAGAATCAACTGCCCTACGATCGAATTGAGATCATGAACTCTTTAAATATGAAACCTAATCAGTTGTGTCTTCGGGACGAGAAGTTTTACAAGCACTACGACATAGAGGTTTGCTTGGGAGTCTCCGCTGAAAAGTTGGATACAATTCGCAGTACTTTGTATTGCAGCAATGGAACGATTTTAATGTATGACAAAATCTATATAGCTACTGGTTATTCAGCTATAAGACCCAATATACCCGGCGTGCATTTGGGAAATGTAAGAACTATTCGAAATATTGACGATGCCAGGAGCATACTGCAAATGGTGGAAAAAACAACGCGGGTGGTGTGCCTGGGTTCCAGTTTCATGGCTGTGGAGGCTGCCGCCAATCTGGTTACCAAAGCGGGCAGCGTTACCCTGGTAGCCCGACAAGATGTTCCATTTAAGATCACTTTGGGTCAGGTGATAGGAAAGCGCATACTGCAACTCCTAGAGGAAAACAACGTAAAGCTGCGTATGAGCAGTGGTATCTCCCAGATCCTGGGAAACTCCTTTGATGAGGTTACGGAAGTGGAGCTACTGGATAAGTCGCGAATTCCATGCGATCTGCTCATTCTGGGCACTGGTTGCCAATGCAATACTGACTTTCTACAAAACTCTGGCGTAAAACTAAATCCCAATGGCTCGGTGGATGTTAACGACTTTTTGCAGACAAATGTGCGCAATGTTTATGTGGGTGGTGATATAGCCAACGCTCACATATTAGGAGGGGTCACAGATCGGGTAAATATAAGCCATTATGGATTGGCCCAATACCATGGACGCATAGCTGCGATGAACATGTGTGGCCGCATTGCAAAACTGGAGGCCATTCCCTTTTTCTATACCGTGATCTTCGGCAAGGCCTTTCGCTCCGCCGGCTATGGATCCTACAAGGAGGTAATCATTGACGGAAGCCTCGAGGATCTGCAGTTCGTAGCCTATTTCGTGAACGATGAGGATGCGGTGACGGCAGTGGCCTCTTGTGGTCGGGATCCCATTGTCGCCCAGTTTGCCGAGCTGATATCGCAGCACAAAGGATTGTGCCGGTGTCAGATCACCGATTTCACGAAACGAATTAACTGGATAACGAAGCTAATGAACTAGAACTAATCTGTCTTACTTCACATGTTATTTACACTCTCAGTACTTTTGAATTAACAAGCATTTCAGTTCTTTAAGTAAAAATAAAACACTTTTAAGCCTACTTTGTGGATTTCAAAGTTAATCTTTGCTCGGCCTGATTTTATATACCATTATTTTATAATCTTCTTAAAATAAAGTTTTTAACCATAAATTCATATCTAATGGCAAGCAAGTAAACTTTATATTAAGTCTACAAAAACCATTTGTAAAAATTAGACATATCTGTTAAATACATGTTTTTAATTACGCTGTTAGTCGAAGCTTATCGATAAAGTCTAAACCGACTTTGTTTCGACTTTATTCCACCAAAAAACGTTAGAGCTTAAACAACTGCATAGCATAATAATTAAATTAACTGCTTTAATTGCATAAGATTTGGCTATGAGCGATAAAGCCATATTCGTTTTCCAACTGCCGTGACGTTTGGAAGATGAAACTTCTCGGACTTTTAGTCGTTTCTTTGCTTCTGGCTTCAACTCAAGCTTATAGGGGTTGGTACTCCTATACCCCCGAAAAAAACTTTAAAAAAAAGCGCACTCAATTTTAACAATAAGGTTATTATGTTTTGTCTTCGAACTCTATAATTGATAGACAGTAAAAAGTAAGTAATAAATTTGTCATCAAACAAAGTAAACTAAACAAATCACCATTTATAATTCAAACTACCCTTTTAGATTGTGTAATTTAAAATATGGCAACATATAATATAACATATAATTTTTTGCTTAGAAATTCCACATAATATAGTAACCTAACCCTCTGTTTTTTCATCTGACCCCAAACCATTAATTTTGTTGTTTCTTTTTTTATACAGTATAGAGGGCAATTCCCTATGTGAGATTGTCATTATTATTTCAGCAATTTACTGACAGTTTAAACACGTTAATGGCCACATCAAAACGGCAATACGAGACATATAACGGTAATTTGGATGGCAAAAAGTGTTTTTTTTTTTGCAGACAACTCATATATGTTTGTGCTGTATTAATTGTACATATACATATATCACACTTTTAAATTTATGTGAATATGATTGTTTCCGTTCCTATTGAAAACTATTCCTTTGTTGGGCGTTTAATGGGTTAACAGTTTAGCAGGTAAATTATGCAATGTGCGTTGTAAAGCGATCACAAAAAATATATCAATGCAAATATAAAACGAGAACGTTAGCTAAGTTTAGTGAGCCATATTTCGCAAAAAAATGTATAAAAAATCCAATCTGAAATCAACAGTTTAGCACAAAACCGACATTTGTTTGTCGCCCGTTGCGAAAGATTCAAGTGACTAGCTATAGGTACCAAATTATAATATGCTCTGAAAGGGTATAGAAATGTGTTAAAGCCTTTTAAAATGATCGAGAGTAAGCCATGCTTTTAAATTCAAAGTAAAAAGAACCTATTCCATATTACTTCGAGCTAGAGCTCACAACCGTTTTCAAAATTAACACATTAAATTCGACGAACTACAAACTAAAAGAATAGAGTACTTCCACTCCGATCGACATGTGTTTCAACGAACTTGAGGATCGCAGTTTGCTGCCAGACTGTCACATCGCGAACAGAGTGTTCCTCTTCTCGCTGCTGCAGTCTCTCCAGGAGCAGGAGCGTCGTCCAGAGGAAGTGGATGTCCAGTTGCGGGATCGCTACAATGTATTCCGCCAGGTGCTGCCCAATTATCCGCTGCCTGAACAGGAGAACTCTGATGTCAGAATGTATTTTTTGCGGGATCAGGAGCAACAGCATTCAGTCCCAGTCTCCATGGACGCGGACTCATCTGGCGATGGGATGAGCGAATCCAGCCTGGACAATGATTCCAGCCAGATCGCCCTTTCCGGCAACAGGATGGACTGGCCGATTTAACTAAAATGTCTGGGCTTGTTTAAGCATCACAAACCCACATAAATTCAAAAAGTGAAATTATTTCTTTGGCTAAATGTCTGCCAAGTGATGTTAAACGTAATGAAAGTAAAACCTGACCATTAAACGCTAAACAATAAAAAAGAAAATAAAACATAAAATTACAAAACATTTTTGGGGGGGCATTTGGTACTACCAACATACATATTAAGCAATTTAATGTGCGTTTGTCGCGCTTGTTTTCCTGCTTACAAAACTGGAACCAGCTGGCCGTTTGTCCAGTGAAATGCGGCAAGCAAATCAAATCTAAATGATCTCATTCAACATATTTTATTATTACCCTCAAAAAAAAAACTGGAAAAAAACGTACGCTAATCTCACTTAAATAATAACATACATCACCAAACAGGGGAAAGTATAGGCCAATTGGAACTAAGTGTTCCCTACAACACAAGATTTAAATACAAATAATAATTAAACATTTTTATTTTGCTTGTAAAAAGATACAAGCTTAATTTCAATTACAATCTCTATTTTTAAAATTGTCGTAACTTGGTGATATATTCCTCGACTTAAAACTTAAGTCATGGGTTAATTTAAATTTAAATGGAATTTATAAATCAATTTAAAATCAATTTATAAAGAGCTATCAATTCTGGCTTATCAGATATGTTCACCTAAGTTCCCTATGATAACAAAGTACAATGATAAAATTAAAATTTTGAATTTATATAATAAGTCTCTTAAATCATTTACCTCACTCGTAGGGCATTATAAAGTCGATTAAGTCTAAATCAACGGCCCCAAACTCACTTTTACCTAAATGACCAACCAGTGATGGCCAGAAACAAAAATAAACGTATAATGCAACTGCGGACGGATTCATGAGATCGCTTGCAATGGACAGACGGACGGATCCGCATATTCTGCTATCAAATTGCCATAGAAATGTGTATCTGCCCAGCAAATGGGTAAATTACAACCTGGAAATGGTCGCGAATCGAGACCAAACTGTCATAAAAATCAGTTAATAACCGCAGACCCCGCCAGACCAGTAGCAACGAAGTGGTATATAGAAGCGACTATGTGTGTGAAATACTTATCTGCTTATGTGGATACGTATATTTTCATTTTCATTTGGCCAGATCGTTTCGTTTAGTTGACAAAGTTTTGTTCACCTGCACGGTTCGAATTACCGGAAACCGAAAGTTCTGAGCCCAATACCAGTATAATATAAAGTGCGGAAAATTAATTTAGATTGCATTAAAACAATGCAAGCGTTTCCTATATTTTGCCTAGTTTTGCAACTTTTGGCAATCGTTCGAACGGAATCGGGGGAATTCGGTAGGATATAAGTGTTACAGTGATGTCTTTTCCGAAAAGATAAAATAAAATCAAGCTTATAAAAAACTCCGCACAATAAACCATAACTAAGAAAAAACGGTTTATTATATATTTTATGCTAAAGGATAATCAAGCTTATAAAAAACTGAGCACAATGAAAAATAACTTGAACTTGTATAATTTCAAATATTCTTACTCGAATATCCTTCAATTTTAGAAAATCAATTCAAATGGCTGTTAGAAACTTAATTTGGTGCGATTCTGACAGTACAATTTAAATAACAATGTGTTAATTTCAATAAAAGTTTTTTTTAACATAGTTTTTACATTTAAGAAAAAGTAATGATGGTATCAAAATTTTGAAAGAAAAACGCCATTGCGTGTTAATAAAAATCGACTTACAAATTGGGTACATTTTCTAGAGAAATTGTTGGTTCCCGTGACCTATGCAAAGCCGGAGCAGAAAAGTGCGATACGGAGCAATGAGACGGCAGGACATTCGGTGGCTGCCCGCTCCTACTACGACGTGGGCCAATCCACCGGACAGACAGGATGTTCCGTGGGCACGGAATGTACGCCTCTGCACGACTGCACTGCCCTGATTTACGAGGTGGCCCGGAGTTGCTACTACGGCGACAAGTCACTCTACTGCGGTGGAGCCAGCGATGAGCTGCCCTACGTCTGCTGTCCTAGCAGTCCGCTGGAGAAGAACCAGGTCTGCGGAAAATCCCTGGTTCAGGGACACTTCTACAAGGGACTGGGCTCCTATCCCTTTGTCGCACGCATCGGTTTCAAACGTAAGACTTTCCCTGATTCTTTATTTAATTTATATGGATTACAAATTATATTACGATACCTATTTCAAAGCGATTTTATAAGCCTTAAGAAAGGGATTTACAAAAATGATTACAAATGACCAAAATGAATAAATTTTAGATTATTAGTTACTTGGATACTTCAAAGTCTATTCAAGTTGAGTCAGAATTGTTCTCAATAGTATAAAATACATTATTTGTAACACAACAAAAAGTAAGCACTTCTCGAATTTGTGTTTTTAAATGTATCGAAATTGTTTTCCATATAATTACTGAAATCATTTGTATTATTTTTTGTATTTTTCAGACGTTAATACGGGTGCATTTGCCTATCCGTGCGCCGGGGCAGTTATCGCCAGGCGGGTCATCCTCACGGCGGCCCACTGTGCTTTGGCCAAGGCCGACGGACACCGACTGTAAGTGGGTCACTGGGTGTGGGTGCAGTGCATCGTAGCGGGCAATCAAACGACTTTCTCCCCCGGACTCTTGCAGGTCATCGGTGCGGGTGGGCGAGTACGACACGTCCAGCGATCCGGACTGCGCCAACACCGGATTCTGTGCCCCGCGCTCCGTCAACCACGCCATCAGCCATGTGATCGTGCATCCCGACTACAAACAGGGCCAGTACCACCACGACATTGCTCTGCTGGTTCTCAAAACGCCGCTAAACTATTCGGGTGAGTTCTGGGCGGGATGGGCGGTATGGGCGGCATGTGCACGCCAGTATATAAGGGTCCAATGGGTGGTTACGCTTGGCGGTGTGGCCGTTAATTAAAAATCGTTTTGTTCTGTCATCTTTTTCCATCCACTCCACTCGCTCCAAGTTCACAAATGTCAAATGTGCTCCCCTCCAGCCGGCTGCATGTCGCTAATTCGAGGCTGGGATCCCCACATGTCACTTAATTGGGCGGCGTCGGGCTTTGGTGCGTGTTTACTGTACCAGCTAATGAGTTGATCGCGACCTGGTCACTGGATCCGCTTTGATTTGTAGCTTTTGGCCTCAGTTCAATGGCTATGAACTTTGGAATACTGATCTGTCGTGAACAAATTCGTCAGGAAAAAAGTCACGACTTAAAGAAGCTACGATCTTTGGAATACTGATTGCTCATGGTTAAATTTCTCAGGTTGAACATTTTTCGCCATATAATATAGAGCCTCTTTTAGTACCAAACGGCATACTCATATTACGAGCACAACAAAAAAGCAAAACAACTTTTCTCCCCATTCAACATTTCAATCCATTGAGAACTTGACTTTTTTAAAGATACTCGCAAATTGTTAGTTCCCCAATCACAGATATCGAAATTAACTGCGGACGTGACTTTGATGGTGCCTTCATAAGACTGACTTGGGTCAGAAATTGAATTTTAAAGCGTAAAAGCATATTACAGGCCATATCACCTCTCACACATGGCATTAAATGAAATAAGGGTTATTACCAAGCACCGGACGACCGATCGCCGAACGGTGAGGCAATCGATTGGTTAATTTCAACTTGGCCAGTTCGTAAACAGCTCATTATTTGCGATCCCAAAGGGGGCGTGGCCCAGATGGCTGCCCGACTTGTTTGCGTTCATCCTTATTGCTTTATAATGCCCAATAAAATACCACGGCCCGAAATAAATCAAAGGGTCAGGCAAGGGCGTGCAAAGGGGGTTCCTTTTTTGTTACTTCGATTTGACTAGAAAATATTGGCAATTAAAAGACCACCTTTTGATGACATATCGTAAAACATATATAGTTTACAGGTTAATATTTAAAATGAATATACGGCAGTATTTGTAAATGATATTTAAAGGGCTGTTCTGGTCTTCACTTGAGAACATTTTTTTAATTTAATAGTATTTTAAAATATGTTAAAGAATCTGTAAGGTTAAAGAAAAGTGCCTTTTTTTCTGTTATAAAACAATGGAACTTAAGATCTTTTAACTTTGCAAAGTGATTACCAAAACCCCTTCACCAAATATTGGTAAGCCCTTTTCGGTCTGGCAACAATGTTGCAATTTAGGGCAGGTAGCGATCAGAAGTCGAACATAAGATTAATGGAGACCAACCCACTTCCCATCTCGCACCGTCAGTGGCCACACAACCGATCTGCCTGCAGAAGACACGCGCCAACCTGGTGGTGGGAAAGCGAGCCACCATCGCCGGCTGGGGCAAGATGTCCACGTCGAGTGTCCGGCAGCCGGAGATGTCGCACCTGGACGTGCCGCTGACCAGCTGGGATCTGTGTCTCCGCAACTACGGCTCTACGGGCGCCCTGGAGTCGCCGAACTCCATCGAGGGTCAATGGATGTGCGCCGGCGGAGAGGGCAAGGACGTCTGCCAGGGATTCGGTGGAGCGCCGCTATTCGTACAGGAGAACGGAATCTTCTCACAGGTAATATATATTCATTTATAATATACATATATAATATACTATTAACCACTATCAGATTTTGTCTCAAAGTTATAGAAATAGGATTAAACATAGCCCTTAGGAAATAGTCATTAAGGAAAAGTTACTGAAATAAAATTATTGTTTAATTATATCTTTTTTTTTAATATCTTTGCATTCCACAGATTGGCATTATGTCCTTCGGATCGGATAACTGCGGCGGACTACGCATTCCGAGTGTCTACACCTCCGTGGCCCACTTTTCCGAGTGGATTCACGACAACACGCCGCCGGAGTAGGCTGATTGTCTTTAGCTTAGCCACTAACCTTAACTCGATTTAAAAGATGCATTATATAAATAAATATTTAAATAAACCTTAGCAATTGACTTTTATTCAAATATAAAATACGATATTCCATTGTAAAGCGCTTTCCATTGATCTGTCATGTTGATCTGAGTGTACACGCACCCAATAACTTAATTGAATTAATTGAACTTTGACACGAACCACTCGCATGGGCTTGAAAAATATGAAATGATCTTTTATACAAATAAGATGACAGTAAAAAACAAAAACAAGTCGACCATCGGAGCCTTACTCTTTCAAACGATCTGTACATTTTACCTTTGAGAAAAGGTATTGTAATGGTTTATTGTAATAAAACTAAATAAAAGTACGCATATTTAATATTTTATTATAGTTTAGTATAGAAAATTTAAAAGCTCATAAGAAATTACATAGTTTAAAAATTGCTTAACGGAAATATATATTTTCAAATTAGAAAATATTAGAAATATGATTCAACAATGGGCAATAGCGTGTATTGCTCTAAATTACGTAGATGATTTAAGCTTTCATCTTGGATTCTAATGAAAGCAATTCAATGGACGGAAGTTGATGTCAATAAAATGGGAGATGAGCTTGCCACAAGCTAAAAACTGGCCCTGTTTGGTCCAATCAGTTCAGTTTGAAGGTCGATGAGACTACTGGATGGTTCAGCTGTAAAGGATAAAAGGCTTTTAAGCCCTCTCTTTAGGGGAGTAAGAACTTCAACTTAAAAAAAATTATTGACCAAATTTTCAAAGTGATCTTAAAATTTGCCAGATTATTTATAAACGCAAATTAGTTAATTTTTAGCCGTTTTTAACTTATTTCAAAATAATTTCTATTAAGCTGTAGGGATTGAGTATCAATTAAACATTGTTTAAAAAATAAAAACGAAATTTACCAAGCTCATTTCGATTTGATATCGAGCTGGTTTTTGTTTTGTGTGCATTCTATGCTCTCTAAAATTTCTCATTGCCGGCTCGTTAAACTTAATCGCCTCTGAGTCTGCATGGGAATTCTCCTGACTTGATTTCAAGTTTTCCATGTCCATGTGCGTGTGGAGAGACGAATCCGATGGCGATGTGGATGCCGGTACCGGTGCCATGTGGCTAATTGGAGTCAGCTGTTTTTGTGAGCCACTGGGATCAGCTGGTGGTTTGGCAGGAGCTGCAGACCCATAAAAATCAAATGGCTGCACTGAGAGAAACCCAAACGGGTAGTGTTTCACCCATTTATTGATAAATTGTGGTTGCGTAAGCAATGCAGCAGATGACAAATTAACTGGTTCACATTCCCGCAGAAATCAAACGATCGCCTAATCAATTTACAGTAGCAACGGGAATGGGGGCAGGCAGTGTATCTGTCGATCGGCGAGACTCCAGGGTCGGAGGCTGAAGGCAGAAAACACTAAATGGAAAATCAATTTGTTTGCTCTCCACAGACGGACGAGGTCCCCAGACGGCCAGTCGGCAATCGGTCGTCGCGAGGTGAACATCGTCGGCGCGCTCTCACATATTTCGAATCTGCACAGGGCGAAAACATTCTTTGAACATTGCCCAAACATTTTAATTGCATACCGCCGCCTGTGTGGTCAGCTGGAATCGCCCAATAATGAAATCTTGAAATATTCTTCTTTTTTAAATTCTTTCTTATATTAAACAGTCTGCCTGTTGGGCACTAATTAATTATAGTGCCCGATTAAATACACTTAATATACAGTAGTGAACTGCCACTGTCGATTCGAATTCCGCTTGTATCTTGCGAAAAGATTAAATAACCTAGACTGTGTAAATTCTTAAGTATATATTTGTTAAGCTTAGGTGCCTTATCCAGCGAGGTAGTGACCATCAAAGTGTTAAAAATCCGCTGAAATTAAAAAAAATATATAAACTTTTTAAAATTTGATATACTCATATAACATATACTATAAATACATAAATTCTAAAAAAGTAACAATTAAACCTAAAATAAACTGAAATAACTTATTTTTGAAAGACATATATAGCCAATATATAAAATATGTTGCTTTATTGCCTTACATAAATTTAACTTGACCGTTCGAGTTAAATCTGCATAAATATATAAGTCCCTAGAATTGGTTGTAAAATAAGAATGTAATACCTTTTAAGTGTTTTATCAAATTATTTATTGTTTGAACGCATTAAGCCCACATAAAATTGACCTTTTTGTAGTTTAAAAAAAAAGAATAAATTAATTTGTCGTTCAGTGTGTAAACTTAATGCCATTATATGCGTTTCGTTTCTAAAGATTTCATACATTCTTGTTTTATGACTTCACCGGAATCTTTTTTAAGTACTTATTTTTTGGCATGTTTGAATCGTTCAAACCGAAACATAAAGATTTTTCTTAGCTTTTGATCGAACTCGGCCGTGTCCATCTGGGTTTCGAAATCGGATATTTGCTAACAGATTATATAGCCCAATCATCGTTCTCTCTATCAGCAAGACGATCTGAATATATGGCAACTCCCGCGATATGAATATGTGCCAAAAGCGACGAAAACAGAAGCGCAGACGTTTGCCTATAAAAAACAAACAATAAACAAATACCTCCGAAGAAGAAATTGTTTTTAGCCTGCGTAATGTGCTTGTGTGATAAAGTATTTGTTTACGCTTAAGCTCTAAAGTAAAGCAAAATAATTAGCAAAAAATAAAACAAAAGGCAGCCCTTCGTGTGTGATTTTTCGCCCCCGATAGCGAAGAGAAGAGCTGAAAAAGCCGCGTGAAAAGCGCGCAAGTCATAAATATCGGGGCTAATCAGATGGCCGGAGATTCGTGGTGCTAATTAGGAGTGTTATAACCGTAAGCGGATCGGATCGAAGAAACATAGGTACATAGTACTGCGAAGCAACGCAATATGTTGCGGCAGAAGAAGCTAAAGAGGAAAAACGAAAATTAAAGTTCAGAACATTTTTCAAGTCCCAGTTTTGCAACATGCAGTCCAGCCACATGTTGCTGGGCGTTGGCCTCATGTTGCTAGCGCTATATGTCCCTTGTGCCGACTCAAAATTGGAGCACGAATGCACCAGCATCGACATACGTAACGAGTGCAAGAATATGCACTTGCTCGACAACTGCACCGTGGTCACCGGCTACGTAATGATCACCCTGATCCCCATTGAACAGCACTGCAACTTCTCGAACTACTCCTTCCCACTCCTCACCGAGATCACCGAGTTCATGATCTTCACCGAGGTGAGGGGCATGGCCAACATCACGGATATGTTCCCCAACCTAGCCGTCATCCGGGGGCGCCGACTGTTCCTCAACTACGCCCTCGGCGTGACTAGCATGTACGACCTTGAACAGGTGAGTGCCAAAGTCTAATTTTTATGGTTCTTTATGATCTTATAAATATTATAACTTAGGTATTTAAAAAAAAGTTTATATTCCTATTGCAACCATTAGTATTTAACAAATTTAAGAGTTTTGTATGTTAATTTTCCATTTCTTTTTCTATTGACATTTTTGAAAAAATTAAATAAAAGTAATTTAATTCTCAATCGTTCCAATAAAAATTGTTTTGTTAAAAAGATTCTGTATTTATATTAAAAAACCAATGTCTTTTTAAAACCAATGGCTTTCAGTTGGCCTTTCCCCAATTGGTGGCAATACAACGCGGTCAAGTCTACATCGGCAACTGTCCACAGCTCTGCAACATCGACCGGGTTAACTGGGATCTGCTGACCCTCAGCAGAGGCGATAACCACATTATAGCGGCTGGTAAAAACTGCAGCACACCCGTGTGCAAGGGATGCACTTCCTCCTACTGCTGGTCGAACATTTACTGCCAGCGATCCCTAAACGAAAATGTCGTTAACCCACAGGCGTAAGTGAAATGATAAACTGTTTTGGTTTTAATATTAGAATTAGAGTTAAATATACGAAATTCAACTAATCTTTTTCTCAATCTTCCTAGCAACATTAACACCTGCCATGAGGAATGTTTGGGAGGCTGCCATGGAGACTCCGGATCCGCTGCTGACTGCGCAGTCTGCCGAGGACTTAGCGATGCCGGCGTCTGCGTGAAGAGCTGTCCGAAGAACAAGTGAGTGGTAGCTACTTATATATTCTGCTCTACATATCGAACTATCTGTCAGGTACGCCCTGGAGCATTTCCAGCGGTGTTACACCAAGGATGAGTGTGTGACCAAGCATGGCTTCGTTATTTCGGAGTCGCAGTGCGTAGCCTTCTGTCCCAGTGGCTACAAGGCGGATAACACCTCCGAGTGTGTGCCCTGTGGCATCGAAGAGGCTTGTGTTAGTGTCTGTACTCCGGACCAGGCTGGGTATGTTTTCAGCATATACAGCTTGGCCGATGCCGAGAAGTTACGCGGCTGCCAGATCTTTAACGGGAGCATGGTTATTACCATTCGCAACAAGGTAAACGAGACGCAGCTGGCCCAGAGCTTCCAAAGTATGCGCGAGATTCGAGGCTATCTCAAAATCTATCGGTGGGCATCAATTCCGTTGGTTTTCTCCTGCCAAATCAAGGAACTTCTATTTTTTTCGCAGCTCCTCCCAGCTAAAAAGCTTGGATTTTCTCAGCACTCTGGAGCGTGTTCACGGTGATCCTCTAGAGACTCGTCACTACTCCTTTGTACTCTACGACAACAAGCAGCTGGCCGGACTTTGGAAGCCCTCCCCACAACTGGAGTTTATGGAGGGCGGCATGTTCATGCATCGCAACAACAAGCTATGTAACCGACGGATGCGCGAGTTCCAGAACACTGCCTCCCACGACAGGTCCCTGGACTCACTGCAAACCAACGACCAGGAGGTTCAGTGCAGTCCCTTAAAAATGCTGCTGTTTGTGCAGGTAAAGTAGTTGTTTTGTAAGACATTTTGAATCTTCAAAACTATGAGTTTAATTTTCAGAAACGAACCCATCGGACGGTAAAGCTAAGCTGGCTAAAACACCAGACCAGCCAGAGGCTCGAACTAATTCACCGACCATTGCAGCCGGGGAAACTGTATCACGAGGAGAGTGACCTGGAGGCACCGGTATGTACACGAATCAACTGGAAGCGCCGGCTGCTTTTTCCCGATGATTTGATCGAGAATGGCACCCACTATCTATTCGAGTTGGATGATCTTGAACCGAGTACGCGATACGCCTGCCTGCTACGAACTTTTGGCGATGAATTGGCTCAGGAGGCGCGTAGCGAACTGACCTACGTGCAGACAGAGCAGGATATTCCTAAGCCACCAGTGCTGGAGCTGGTCAAGAAAACAGATAGTTCGCTAAGCATGCGAATGGCCGGTCGCGATCACGACAGCTTCGTGCTTACCGTCTTCGAACTGCCCGACGATCGGGCGTACATAGATCAGCGGAACTACTGCCGCCAGCCGTCGTATATGTGGCAGGCCATAAGCGGCGCCGAGTGGCTGTCTTTCGAGGACTACGACGACTGCTGTGCGGGGAAGGCAGAGCAATTGGACGACTCCCGCTTCATAGCGAACATGCGGGAGCAGTACCGCTGCAGTCTGGATGATCGCAAACAGTGCCGACGATTGGTGCTGGCGGAGGCTTCTCTACCGCAGCTCCGTCTGGCGGGAAACACCACAGAGTACGAGCTCAAATCACTGCATCGCTTTAGACTATATGCCCTCCAGCTGCAGGCCTGTAACCAACTCGGCTGCAGCAGCCACACAACGCTCTACGGTCGCACAAACTACACAATGGGCGCTGACCTTCTCTCCCAGCTGAATGCCTGTCACATTCCGGAGACGCAAAAGTACATCCTGCGCTTCGAAGAGCCCCAGAAACCGAACGGTATGGTGACCAACTATGTGATCCACTACCGCAACAACTTCAACCAGACCCACGCCGGCTGTGTCACGAGGCAGGAGCACAAGAGTGCCGGCTATGTGTATGTCAAGCAGCTAAATATCACCTTCAACGAGTGCGCTGTGCAGGTTCATTCCCTGGCCGGGGATGTGATGACGCCCTACATCCCAATCAAACTCTGCAGCGATGAGGAACAACGATTGTTGGCCCACAACCGGGAGGCCAAGGAAGTGTCCCCAGAAATGTCAGAGGTGCCAGCCACAACGACGCATGCCCACGGCATTAGCATATTCCTGGTTTGCTTCCTTTCTGGGTGCACTGCGTCACTTGTTTGGGTTCTCTACAAGCGACGCTGCTGGAGGCAGTTGCCCGGCCTCCGGCGCTATGTGCCCGTGAGGGAGCAGTGGCTACGGGACCGACAGCAGACCGAGGATCGCGAAATCCTGGTCGACGGCTTCGAGACGGTTCGTTTCCAAAACAATAACGACAGCCAGCCGAACGATTATACCATGTAAACGATAATATATGTATATGAACTTACCATGTGGGCCTTGATCCTAGTTGGCGGATGTGCTGGGCTTGATTGTGGGCTCCGACTTGGCGGCCTCCTCGTCCGGTTCGTTGCCGCTGGCCAGGAGAACCGCCGGGACGCTACTGGAGGTCACCGGCGGCAGCACTTCGCTGTCGGACGGGGGCGTGGGCGTCCGAGGAGTCAGCAGCTGCTGGCGGCTTCTCAGGCGCTCCATCTTGGCCTGCTCGTACTCCTTGAGATCGGACAGCTTCAGCTGGATGGTCTGCAGTTCGCGGCGTCGCATTTTCTCGGCTGTTTTCGTTTTTCGGGTATTTTCGAATGTATACACCAGCTGGGCTAGAGATGGTAGCTAGTGACCGCGGAACTATCGATAAAATATACCGACCGGTTTTCAAAAATATACTTTTTAATATTTTTTTGTAATTTTCGATCATATCACAACATTATATTTCCGCTTTTTAATTTTAATAATTATTATTATGTTGACAAAAATATGTAACTGTCGCGAGATTATTGCTAATATATTTATTTTTTGTAATATTAATCATTGTTTAATTTGTACAACCTTTTTACCTACAAAGCTAAGGATACATTAATACAACAATTCACTCCTCGTCACCAAAAAGTCCGCCCAGTTCCAGATCTTCTCCGCCAGTGCCGGTCAGCTGGTGCGCCCTGAACTCCGTAAAGAACTTGCCATCGCTCTTCGCACTCCAGGCCTGCTCATCCGACTCGGCGGCAATGTGCCGGGCGTGCTTGGGCGGTGTGAAGTGGGTGTACGTGCAATCCGTATAGTCAGCCGGGGTTGGGTCATCATTATCGTATTGCAGGTTGTAGTGCTCCTTGAGGAAATCCACCACCTGCCCTTTGCTTCCCAAGCTGTTGAACTGGACGCGCAGATCTCGCTGAATTTGGGCGCTCCACATAAAGGTCAGGTGGTGGTGGAAGCACTGGAACAGCAGGTTATCCCCGGCAGCTGACGCTATGTCTAACCACTGTTGCACACATTCCAGCGGCGTGTTCCTACCGTCCGGATAAGCGCTATTAAAGAGTGCCGGATTGGCAAGCAGTCCGCGTGCAGCCATCACACCAGCTGCTCCCGTCTTCTCATGCAAATCGCAGGCATCCCTGTAGGTCTCCACATTGCCATTGACTATCAGGGGGATTTGCAGGGACTGACGCACTTCTGACATGCCTGGGATATTGAGCGTGTCCTTTGAGTGCTTCTGTGCTGGAGTCCGTCCGTGGAGAGTGAGGAAGGTGACGCCGGCATGCTCCAACTGGCGGGCCAGATCAATGGTTCGCTGCAAGGAATCCTCGCCGCCCAAAAGGCGCATCTTCACCGAGACACTAAAGTCGGCGGGCAAGGTGCGTCTCACCTGCTGCACCACCTGTCGCACTAGCTCCGGCTGGCGCAGCATACCGCATCCATAGCCCTTGGCCATTGCCCAGCTCTGTGGACAGCCGCAGTTCAGATCGATGCCGTCTACATAAGGATAGATGAGCTGTGCGGAGGTCACAAATTCTGCTGGATCCTTGGCAGCAAACTGGGCGATAACCGGCTGGTCATCCGCACCCGTGGAGAACTCATTCTGACGCGCCTTCTCGCTGTTGTTGATCGAGTCGGATATCATCATGGGCGTGAAGGCGAGTTGTACTCCATTGAGCCGGACAAGTCGTCGGAACTCCAGCTTGCTGTAGCGCACCATTGGAGCTGAAATGCGTAGGAAGTCCGGTTGCGCCTCCGCGAAGAGCGCGGCGATGTCGTGGTGCGGCCTTTGTTGTGGCAGGTGCATCGTTAATTAGTGTAAAATAAACATAAACAATTACTAAACGTGGAGGAGATATAACTCTGCCGGGAAAATTGCCAATCGGCATTTCACACGCAAGAGTCTATCGATAATGCGGCAATCGATTGTTTATAGTGGTTTTCTTGAACGCTTATAACGGTTTTTTTGGTATGATATTTAAAACATGGGGAAATTTACTTCATAATAAACAATAAAAATATATATTTAAAAAAGCTATGAAATTTAATTACTATTGAAATACAGAATCTTAAATATTGATAATTCAATAGTTTTTAAATAAAATAGATGAATAAATGTATGAATAATAAACATAATTGGTTTATAAGTATGTGTATTTTATATAATCAAAAGAGTTTCAAACAAATTTGACTTTGAAAAACAGTGCGTAGTTCCAAGGCTCTGACAGCTGCCTAACAACACAATAAAATCTATTTTAAATAATACATTTGAACTTCTAGTAGATCTTCTGGCGAAAGTTATCCTAAGGCTAGAGTTCCGTGGTGGCCACTCCCCAGTATTTTCGCATGCGACTCTCATGCTCGTTGAGCTCATCGTCGTCCTGCTCCTCCTCGTCCAGGATGTTCCTCTCCCGCTCCTGGGTCACGGCAAAGTCATACTCGAAGTTGTAGGGCATCAGTCGCTGAAGGGATCCAAAGTAGGCGGAATTGGGTCCTCCGGCGCGTTTCACGTTGCCTCCGGAAGTCTTGCGCGGCTTGGCATCAAACAGATTGTAGCCGTAGCTCTGAGCCTGCTGGAAGGAGAGGGCACTGCCAAAATGTCCAGGAACCGGCTGTTTCACCGGATGATATGATCCCAGGGGCACGGAGTTCGGTGTGGAGCAGCTCAGTGGCTGGGGCAACTGCGGGGTGCTGCTCGAGATGAACTTATTGGTGACACTGCGCATTAGATTCGATGTGAAGTCATTGCGATCCGGTACGGCAGATGCTGCCATGATAGCATTCGGCACGGTCCTCTGCTTCGTGAAGGACTTGGAAATTGTGTTCAGCTCCTTGTCGAAGAGTAACTGGGTGTTCTGCTCCAACATGTACTCCCAGCATTTGAACTGCTCCTCGGACAGCACCGACTCGGTTTCGTCCAGCATCTCCAGCTGTTGCTCCTCCTGCAGAACGCGGGCATGGGCCAGTACGAATTCATCGTCCTTGCTGTCCTTGGCCAGCAGATCCCGATCGCTCTGGCCACTCGGCGAGGATCGTCCTGCCAGCGGCTCCTGCTCGATGGCCCGGTGGCGACATGCATTACTCCGGTCGCAGCAGGTCCGCTTGCAAACGGACCCACTGGACGAAGGCAAGGAGATCGGCTGAGGCTTCTTGCGCACACTCTGCTTCAGTTCCCGGATGAGGTGGTCCACATCGGTGCCCAGATGCCGGAAACGCACCACAATCACACTGAGATTTTCCACCGCCGCAAAACTCTGGGCAATGTCCACCAGTCGCTTTGCCGCCAACACGGCATTCTCCTCTTTGCGAATCTCTCGGGCAGCGCGATCTATGTCCATCACGGACCAGAGCTGGGCATTGCCCACCACCAGGTACTCGTCATCGTTGCTAAGGGTCAGCTGGAACATCGAGAAAGAAATATGATATTGAAATATTATTAATAACAAGAAAGGAATAAAACTTCGGCAGGAAGTTATGGGCTTTGAAGTTCAGTTTTTTGGACACTTTTCCATTTATCGAAAATTTTGAAAGCATTATAAAAATGACGAAAAACGACCCAAAATTACAAACAAAACTGAAAATGCAGTTTTATAGAGAATTAACCCACAATCATTTAGAAGTATGCCACTTTGAAATCGGATGTCTGCAAGAAAAGTTATGGGCTTAAAGGTGCAGTTTTTGGACACATTTCCACAAAGCCATTTTTCGAAAATTTGGAAAGGGCATTATAGAAATGACGAAAAACCGACCAAAAATTACAAACCAAACTGTAAATGCAGTTTTTTAGAGAATTTACCCACGATCATTTAGAAGTATGCCACTTTGAAATCGGATGTCTGCAAGAAAAGTTATGGGCTTAGAAGTGCAGTTTTTGAACACATTTCCACAAAGCCATTTTTCGAAAATTTGGAAAGGGGTTAGCATTATAGAAATGACGAAAAAACGACCAAAAATTACAAACCAAACTGTAAATGCAGTTTTTTAGAGAATTTACCCACAATCATTTAGAAGTATCTCACTTTGAAATCGGATGTCTGCAAGAAAAGTTATGGGCTTAAAGGTGCAGTTTTTGGACACATTTCCACAAACCCATTTTTCAAAAATTTGGAAAGGGGTTAGCATTATAAAAATGACGAAAAACCGACCAAAACTTACAAACCAAACTGAAAATGCAGTTTTTTAGAGAATTAACCCACAATCATTTAGAAGTGTGTCACTTTGAAATCGGATGTCTGCAAGAAAAGTTATGGGCTTAGAAGTGCAGTTTTTGGAAAGGGCTTAGCATTATGAAAATGACGGAAAATCGATCAAAAATTACAAACAAAGTTTTGAACAAAGGTTTTTAGAGAATTAAGCTACACGTTTTTAAAGGTATACCACTTTGAAATTGCCCATATGTTTTTAGAGAATTAAACCGCAAGTTTTTTACAGCTGGCAGTCTTTTTAACTTGAAGATCCCAGGTATTGGTTAAGGAAGTCTTATTTTGTGAGTAATTAGTAATGGTTATCTAAAAACCTACCTCAAGAACCTGTGGATCTGGCATTACCATGGAATGGCTCTTATCGCTGGGGGTGGTCTCCATTTCGGTCAGACGGAGTTGGGAAGTGCGTCGTATCAAATAGGCGTCCAGGCGTCCTGTGCTGGCCATGCGCAAGACATAGCGCTTACTTTTCAGCGGTCTCACCTTCGATGGAGCTCGTGTCCTGGTGAGATGGAACAAGGCGGCACTGCGGACACTGCCACACTGCTGCTGCGCCGCCAGCAGGGTGAACTTCATGTAATCCCTGACCGCCGAATCCTTGACCAACTGCTCCTGCCTCATCAGCTCGGGCACTAGATGAGCCATCTCCTGGGCCGCCCGACCATGCCCCTCCATCGCCTCGAACATCCCGTAGAGGGCTTCGTCGGACCCGCCGTAGTTGGCCGCCCGGAGTTGGCAGACCGAAAGCTTGCGGCAATCTCCAGAGCCCGGAGTCTCCGCAAAACCCATCGTCCAGGGTCCACTCGTCTTGTTCTGACCCCGTTGGGCATTCACCTGCCGGAGTGTGGCTGTGGGCAGGGCTGCTCTGTTGTTGCCGGACACATCGATCAGACTCCAGTGGCGCTGGCTCTGGGTCTGGCACACCTTGAACTGCTGCTCGTCCACCTGGAGAAGAATTCAAGTCGTCGTTAATATCCTTAGAGATTGCAATATTAAAAGGCTTTAAAATCATGTCGCCAATTCGTATACTTAGTTTAGCAATTGTCCAAATTGTATAATAAATTAGATCATGGATGTATACAAAAGGAAATAATCATATTTTAATAATAAACTCACAAAAGAAAATTAAGAAAAGAATAATCCGATTTTTGTTGGTCAATGTAGTCTTTTTTAAAATACAATTTTTTAAATTATTTTGATTTAAAAAACATTAAAATTGTAATGTACATTGGTTTTTAAAATGGAATTTTGATATACTCAAAACGATAAAGTATATATTTTCAAATATGAACAGAAGGTATAGGTATAATATTTTCTCACCTGCAATTGCAAGTTCCCCGAAAGGTCCAGGTACTTGAGGTTTCGCGAGGGAACCAGTGCCAGCAGATTGACCCGATCCAGATGATTGTGCGAGAGATCCAAAACCTTGAGCATGCCCAGCTTGGCCAGTTGCGGGGTGCAGAGGAGCAGGTTGTTGCAGCAGCGGAGCACCCTCAGCCGGCCCAGAGTGGCCACCTCCTCGGGCAGTTGTTGCAGCATGTTCCCAGACATAACCAGGATCTCCAGTTCCGGCCAGTTGCGGACACAGGCGGCGGGCAGAACACCAATGCGATTGTAGGCCAAATGCAGGAACCTCAATTTGGCGGCATTGTGCAAAGGCTCGAAGATACTGTCGTTCAGTTGATTCCCCGCCAGCGATAGATTCACCAGAGCAGCATGATTATTCTGCTCGTAGCGCGGCAAGGTGGCCAACTTGTTGCAGGAGACATTCAGCGTTTCCAGTCGGGTATGGGTCACGGCAAAGAAGTTATCGGGAAGACTCGGCAGCTCATTGCTCTGCAACTGGAGACTCCGGATGCTGCCAAACGCCTCCGGCAACATGTCCAGCTGCTTCAGGTCGTTGTATGCCAGGTTCAGGGATGCCAACTGACTGATCCTGTAATTTCGCAGCAGTCCCGTCACATTGCTAAGGCGATTGTGCGAGGCCTCCAGGGCTGACAATGATGCACATGCTCCGATCCAGTTGGGCAGCTCGCTGAAGTTGTTGTGCGAGATATCGATGCACTGCAGCTTCAGCGGAACCGGATGCGTGTTCGTTGTGGATATGTTGAGCAGGTCTGGGGGTATAAAATATATTATTATTTCGATCTTGAGCAAATTACAAGTTAATAAAATTATAACACAAACACAAGTATTTTTTTATTATTGAGAAAGCGTTACAAAACTCGATATCATAAACAAGAAAATAAATTGTGTTTAGACACAAAAATAAATTTATAATATTTCTACTATATTCCAATCTTTAAATGAGTATATGGCGGTTTCCATTAAACAAGAGTGGTACAAAATGGTAGTAAGCAAAAAAAAAACTTTTCTGCAAAGGAAATTATATTTATGCAAATTAAATTCAATAGTGTGGCTTATGATTTCCAGTATTTTAGCAATTTCAGACCACTTAAAACAACGGGAAGTATAAATATATCTTTTGGTGCTAAGCACACTCTATTAAAAGAAGCTCACTTACAATTATGGTCGGCGGTAAGTGTCTGCAGATTGGTGGCATTGATGATCAGTTCCATCAGCTTGTTCCGGCTGCACTTTAGCGTCTCCAGTTGGGCCAGGGAGCTGAGATCCAAGACCTCCATCTCGTTTTCGCATACCTCCAGCTGGGTCAAGTACTGCGGGCGAAAAGAGAAAACGGCGAATGGGGGAAAAGTTATCCACCGGATACGAAATACCGGATACCGGATGCCGGATACCGACAACCGGAATGGATGAGTCAACTCACGTTGTAGTTGCCAATCAAAATGCTTCCCCCTAGCTGGCTGCCCTTCAGGCTGAGCTTTTGGGGGGATGTCTGGCCACCAGTGGAGGCCTCCTCCACCTCCTTCCCCGCCAGCTCGACGGGCACTGGATGCGGTCCACTGTGGCTGGCATTAACTTTCAGCTTCGATTTGTATGGATCCGCTGGCTTCCTCGTGGCTTTGAGCATTGTTTCGGCCGTCTCGGGGGTTTCTTGTTTTTTTTCGAGCTCTTGGTAAGACTACAACTTCGCTATGCATCAACGAGCACCCACCGACTGAAGATCGCTTCGGATTTCATATGTTTTCGTGGAGCAATACACTGCACTGCACTTTTATTTTCAAAAACTCGACCTTTGCCAGATTACTCATGGAAAAACTTAATGTTTCTAACTATTGCATTTTGTACAGGGATTTCTCTGGATGTGGCAACAAAAACCTGTCTTGATTTCGGTAATATTTCTACATTTTACTGTAGGATCCACACCCGATAAATGCGACCGCTCAACTGAAGACAAACACAACAACTACGGCTATGACTCTGGGCCGTTACAGAAAGACGGACACGCTTGAGGGCTCCTCGGTCTTTCGGTTTCTGGTCGTATTGCCCAAATCCGAGTTGCGTTCAAGGCATGGAAGTACAGTGAAACACTTGCCGATGGGACACATACAAAGCTTATAAATTAAAAAAGGTATATTAAAGTAAACCGGTTGAATGAAGTCATCTAGCAATTGAATATTTGTTAAGGGTAATAAAATATTAAAATATGGGATAACAAGTTTTTTAACATTATTACCAACTACATTTCTTTGTGGTTTAGTCATTGTTTTGCTTTAACTTCAGATGTATATATTTGTTTTAAGAACAGTAGTCTACTACTGCATCACAAATTCCATTGAAGTAAGCAAGTCCATCTAGGCTCAATTTAAAAATAATAATATAAAACTAGTTTAAAGTTATGTTAAAATATATATGATCGTTCTCTTCAGTAGCAGCCACTGTATAGCAGCCGTATAAAGCAGAGAAGACTTGGCAATTTAACGAGGGTGCATTTCAGCAATCCATGTTAAGAGCACCAGCGGATCTCTTTTCCTTTGCTGCATATTGCCACCTGCTAAAAGTTATTAAAGTAAAAGATGGACTGAAAAGGTATTAAATATGAGCGTAAGAAATAAAGACAGTTGGCTTTTTAGCTTTGTGTTTTTACACGAATTTTAGAAACAATTTGTTTTTATTATTTCAATGAAATATAATAATTGTTTGTCATGCCTACGCATTAGCAGCAAACTCAGAAAAGTGTGTATTTCATGTAAATCATTTGCTTCTCTTCACATTATCTTGCAGTTCTTCTGCTGACTTTACAAAATTTTAACAACGTCTATACATAAGAAACTAAGGGCAGGCAATTGTATTTTGTGGTCAACCGTGGGCGGGTTTTGGCGTGACCTTAACGGTTATTTTCTATAACTTGGCCAGTTCATACATATACAGTTGCCCACACGATCGGGGGTCAAGTTGTGAGTACATAAAATAATAATTAGACAGAGTGCTTAGCAATAATGTACGCCCTATCCACATAAGAGTGTATCATATACGATTGTTTGCTTTAAAATAATATTAATATATATATATATATAAATGTATATAAGTATGTAGGTATTCGTATAAAGTACAAAAAAACATTGCTAAAATACATGTTTAAACAAAGGAGCAGCAAATAAATAGATGAAGGAGTAACTAGAGTAGGGTGGTGAAAAATCAGGTTTAATTGGAGTAAGAAGTTGGATAACTATGCACATTGTGCTGCTACGCTCGTTTGTTTATACACATAATCAATTTTTATATATTTGCTAGGTATTCCGTATGCTACGTGTGTTCTGTTTTCCTAGGTTACTTCATCTCTTCGATACGTTTACGGTTTGGGTATGCCTGCCGTGGTCGCGTAGTGGCTTACGTAATGGTTCTTTAGCTTAATTCGAACGCGGCATTTGTAACATCTGCCCGTGTGAGTGAGTGTACGGAACGCGGATTAGGATAATTACTTATTGCTGTTGTACATTCAACTTAACATTATAAATATTAAGAGTGGCATATGACTAAAATTCGTTATCGACTATGTGTGTGGGTCTGGGGTGTGGGGGAGTGGGTGTGTGGAGGTGTGTTTTGTGTGGCAGGACAGGGCGCATCTAAATCAATCTTATTTACGGATAAGGTTTGTCAAGACTTAGGCAGCCGCCTGCCGATCTTCAAATCGAATTAACGCGAATTGAGAGGCTTACCGAACTAAGAGACGTGGCAAAGGCGAGAAATTTGATTTCCGCACTACACAATCATAATAAATGGTAATTCGTATAAGTAGGTAAGGATTATGCATAATCATTAATATAGCAGTAATTATATTTCCATATATGTATGTGAATATATGGACCCTCCGTATTATTTCCCCGTACTGGTCACCGTCCCCGCAGTCGTCGCCGAACTGATCTGCATACCACCCACATCCTTGTGGTGATCGCCCGTGGCGTTCGCATCCATGCTCGTCTCCGAGTAGTCCAGCTTGTAGCTGGCGCTCCGCGTCACATCCTCCATTGACGCTTCCTGGCACTCCCGTCCACTGTGTGTCTGCGATCCGCAGTTGTAGCAGGAGATAACCTTCTGCCCGATCCCGCCACCGCCCGCTCCCGTTATAGGGCAGACGGTAAGCGCGCTGTAGGGCGTCGTGCTTGGAACCTGTTGCTGTTGCGGCGTGGGCACCGTCTGCACGGTCACCGCGTTCGTGCTGACCACGGGCGCCGTGCTCTGCATCTGGGGAGGCGTGACCGCCGTGGGAGTGCCGCCCGCTGTCATCGGCAGGAAGGCCAGGCTCGTGTGGAAGGCCGGGTAGATGAGCTCTCCGTTGTGCGGCGGAACCATCGGATAGCGGAAGCCACCGCGGACCGTCTGCGGCGGCGGCGCACTGTGCGCCTGGAATATCGCCGGCTGGGGCGGCGGGGGTCCTCGCTGGTGATATGGATAGCTCGTGTTGTAGGCTGTGGGCGGCGGTTGTTGCGGCTGCAGGAGCACTGTTGTCGTCGGCGTGCTCACCGGCGATTGGCTGATGAGCAGCGTTTGCTGCTGCTGCTGTTGTAGGCTGCCGCTGCTAATAGTCTGCGCATCGCTGACGATGCTCGGCGTTCCCGTCGTGTAGACTTGCTGGTAGCTTTTATCCATCCCATTGCGTCCATTTAGCCTCTGCTGCAAGTTAAGCTGCTGCTGTTGCTTGTAGCTGAGGTGATGCTGCTTTGGCTGATAGTTGCCCAGGCCGGTGGGCAACACCGTGGTAATCATGCCCATGCCCGCATCCACCGTAGTGTGCAGTGGCAGTGAGAGGTGCGTCGGCGTTGGCGTTTCCGAGGGCGACAGGTCGCCACAAGATCCATTCGAGCTGCCCGATTCACTTCCGGTGGTGGCTGCACTTTTGTTGGAGTTCATGCCCATCATCGAACCGCTGCCATCGTCGTTCATGTTCATACTTTGCATCATAACGTTCATGTTGTAGTTGGGGTTCTGAAAATGCTGCTGTTGCTGCTGGTGCTGTGGTATGAATGTGTTTGCCTTAACTCGATGATGGTGTCCTGGACGCGGGAAACCATTGCGGATGAGACTGTGCAGACTTGTTCCACTAGAATTGCTGCTTCCGCCTTCGTTGATACTCTGTAATTAGCAGATAATTTTTTTTTAGTAATGTTTGGGTTTAAAACTATAGATAACAAGCCGCAAATAAAAGTTAAATTACTAAATATTTCAACTGAAAAAATATTACAATGCATTGTGGTTAATACATGCAACAGCTACAGACTTTTTAAATTTTCTGTCTATTCTTATTCACTTCCGAAGGAAACTAATTACGCAGTCAATTTTTCATCAGAAAGGCTATAAGTCATTTAGTTCTAGTTATTTAGCGGTCCCATAATTACATCGTGCTGCTGCTCGCCGCCAATCGAGGTGGGCGGGGGCGTTGTCTCCGCCGAAGGACGTCGCGCATTCTTCTGCCCCGCCAGTCGCTGCGACATGTTCCTAATCGGCTGCTGATGCGGCTGCATTGGAACGGTTATGAGGGACCGTTCCCGCTGGGGACTCGTGGTCCGGCTGCTAGAGGGCGAGGACTGCTGGCTCAGCATTGGCGAGCTGGCCGGTGGCACTTGATGGTCCAGACTCTGCGGCTGCTGCTGCTGCAGAGCGGGCTGTTGGTGGGGCGGTTGTGGGACGAAGTGGCGCATCGTCCACCCAGTGTTCTGGTGACTGAGGATGGCACTAGTGTCCGCTGGAATGGTGATGTTTGGCTGCATCAGATGCGGCATGCCATCGACACTGATTTGGTGCGTTCCATCAGAGCCGGGTATTAGCTGGAATATTTAGGAATGACTTAATCAGCGCCATTTAGGATAATGCTTTAAGACCCACCTTGGAAAAGTGCTGGGGAAAGATCATGGGGATGTTGCCCTGCGGCGTCTGTACCATCTGCACGACCTGTGGATGCTGCGGGTGTGGTGGCGGCTGCTGTGGCCCTTGCATCTGGTGGATCACATGTGGTGGCTGCTGCTGGAGGATTAGGTCATGTGGGGACGGCGGGAGCGGATGATGGGGTGCTGGCGTCTGCGACTGTGCCTGCATCTGCGGCACAAACCGCTCGGCCACCAACTTGTTCTCCTTGATCTTGGCCAGAATGCCGAAGATCTTCTTCTGCTCCTCCATGGAGAACACAGGATGGATGGCCGCCATCGTGTAAACTAACAGCAGCTCCAACAGCGTGTCCTGGTCATTAATACAGCCAAAGTCGCATTCGCCCCAGCATTCCAGCGTGCGATAGATCTCACTGACGCAGTTCCGGTTGCAGGCACGGATCAAAGCCAGATACAGAGCCATCTTGCGCCGGATCTTCCGGTCGGTGGGGTCACCCTTCTGGCAATTGACCATGTCGGCGGCCAGCTCGTGCGGATTGTTCGCCCGCAGTTCCATGCCGCGCAACGTCTCGGAGTCACACCGACCCTGTTCCTCCAGCAACGTGCCCAGGAAGCGCAGCTCGAACGGCAGGCAGGCGGTGAGCAGGGCGTACATCGTTTCGATCCGATTGTAGCTCTCGAGTTTCTCAAACCACAGCAGCACGTCCTGTTTGCAAATCATCTCCACGTTTATCCCAGTCCTTTCACCTACCGATCCCGAATCCCTGCAAGCGGCGGCTGCACTGCATCAATGGCCACACGCTAGTGTGCCCGTTCGCCCGTTGGCCCGTCGCTCCCGTCCCGTTGCTCTGTGTGTGTGTGTATGTGCGCGCGTTTGTGTGGGTGCTCTAGTTACGTGTGGTGGGTGCAAAAGGCGTCCAGAATCTCGTTAGGTGGCAGCAGCTGCTGCTGCATCACAGCCGGAATTGGCCAAAGCTGGCTGGGATCCGTTCCTGGACAGTGGAAAGTGGACACCGGCCCAGCTACCCGGGGCACAGCTAATTGGCTTTTCGCTGGCGTTTTTCGCCACTAATCTGCTCACAAAGGCCGAGCTGATCGGCTGCTGCCCACAACTACAACTAGTGGCGTATATTTTGCGCGTTAGTGGGGTAGGGGGTGCGCGGGCGGCGGGCAGCAGGGGGCTGCACCACATTGGCCAGGCACTCGCTGCTTCGCAAAACACTCGCTGCTATTCTCGATGGGCCGCTGTTATTCGGGGGAGACTACTCGCCGCTGCCAAAAATTCTGCAATTTCCGCGATATTCCTTGCAACGCGCGCGCTTTCTTTTGTCCGGCGACAATTAATGCTACGTCAGCGTGGGCGTCTCGCGGATTTGGGCATTTAATGCGTGCACGCACTATATTTGGTTTGCATTGTGTGCACTTTTTGTCAAAATCAAATTTTCTATTTCCCTTCCACTTTGGCTCGGTGTGACCGTGGCTGCTGTTTGTGTTGTTTGCGCCAGTGTGACCGTGGATACCGGTTGCCATAAAACCGTCCATATGGCAATAGCCGATTTTTAAAACTGAATTTTTTTAAATAGTTTTTTGTTTGCTCAAGTGAATAAAATAGTTTGACTGGGTACTAAAAAGCCCTCTTATAAAATAGGGTTGGTGTACAGGAAGGAGCTAAAATTTGAGTGCCGCTGTTGCCAGACAATTTCGAAATCACGCGCCAGGGCTACCAGACTTGTATACTTATTAAAATTTTTAATTGATCTAAAAATATTTTTTTTGTACTATTAAATTTGTAAGAATGTTAATACAAAAATAAAAGAAAGGAAAAAAAACGAAACTAGGTCCTGTTTTCCCGTCCTTACGGTAAATAAAACATATATGTACGTAGATCTATGGTAAAAACCATTGATCTTGGGACAAATTAAATCAATATAATATGATAATAGATTAGTAATCCCTTAGTACTTTAGATTTTTTTAACTTATTTAATTGCGGATTATGTTTCTATGAAAAATTAATGCAAGTACAAATTGAATTGCAGCAGCAGCTGCCGCTTAGAAACCGTCCTCATCGTCCTCGGCCATCTCCTTGGCCAGTTCAAGGTCCTGCTGCTCCCGTTCACGCCGCTCCTCGGCGCTTTCCAAATCCTTGCCGTATGACTTTGGGGGATAGCGCATGGCTTTGACGCTCTGGTTGTGCAGGTTCAGGCAGAACGAGATGCGCTCGTGGAAGGCCAGCTGCGGCTCCCGGGTACTGTAGATGTCGGTGCTCTCCTTGCTTCGCATGTAGTTCTGGGCCGGGTCCAGCGTAGCCTCGATCACTCCATCCCGTATAGCCTTCGACACGATGAACTCGGCATCCTCGGCAGAGTCGAGCATAAGTCGCTTGGAAATGTCCTGTGGCGAGATGCGCGAGTAAGAAAGTCCAATGGAACGGATCGCTGTCTTGATCACGTTGTGGCGCAGCCGAATGATCAGCGTGAACGTGTGGTCCAGCTGGAATTTGGGACCGAACTGCGAGACCACGTCGCCGAACCTTTTCAGGTTGCCCAGACGCACGGCCTGCGTGAGCTGGAAGTAGGCGCCCAGTGATTGGCGCAGACCGGCCTGCCGAAACACCACGCGCTCCGGGATGTTGCCCAGCAGCAGCTCGACTACGATGATCAGCTTTTGTACCGTCTGGCGGAAACCGATAGCCGCGTGCTGCGGTGATTTGCGCAGCGCCTGGACCAGATGCTTATGTGCATCACTGTACTCCAGTTTGGCGGCCTTGATGCGACCCAAATAGTATAGGAAGCGGGCCCACTCATTGTTGCTGGCCGATTCCGGATAGACGGACTTCTTCACCAGCTTGTCGGCCTGATCGTACAAAGCATAGTGCAAATAGTTGCGCAGCAGACAGTTGATCAGCACCGCCTGGCCCTCGAAGTCGTTCCGCAGCGTGGCGGTGCGCAGGCGGGCGTGCAGAAAAGCGCGGATGCCCTCCAGAGAGTTTTTAAGCTCCGCCACGCGCGAAAAGTAGAAGTAGGATTTGGCTCCAATCAGGTCCAGTGTGCGGCGGTTCTGGATGGAAATCTTGGCCATCAAGGCGTCGGCGCAGGTTCCGGCGCGCTTCAAATCGTTGGCGTCGATCAACTTAACCAGCAAAAGTAGATAGAAGTATGCATCCACCTCGGCAATCGGAGCCTTGCTGGCTACTTGCTTCTTCGGCACATCGGGCAGTTCGGTGGCGTCCTTTTCCACTGCAGGCATTAGGGCCACGGCGGCTTCCCGATCCGCACCAGCTGGATAGATGCTTTGAGACAGATTCCGAAAGACGACACCGTTAAGCTTACGGCGGGTGCTGGGCAAATTGCGAAGGACGCGCAGGATGAAGCTGTCGGCGAAATTAAAACCATGAGCACAAGTAAAGATTGGGAGGCTCTACCCACTTACCGCGACTCCTTGGAGGCCACCCCCTTCTCGATCTGACGTATCTGCTCACGAATCTCCTGAACCGCGGCCACATCTTGGTTCTTTTTCTCATCAGCCAGGGTCTCGGCCGTGGGATCCACCTCCATCTCCACGTCCTGGGCACCGATGTCCGTTGCGTTGGTCATTTTGTAGAACTCTCAATTTGCAAATGTCACAATTATGGCCGACTTTTCTTTTGTTTTTTCTCCAATTCCAAATCAAAAATGCCTAGTAATGTTGCTTCCTCTTCTTCGTTTTCGGCTGCTTGACAGACAGTGTTGGAAAATGTGGTTAACAGCGCTGTTAAACTGAGCTATCGCTATCGATATGTTTAGTATCGTTGCTTTAAAAGGTTAAGTTATATATCAACAGTCTTTAATCTATACAAAAATATATAAATAAAAAGAATAAACAAGTATATAAATTATTTACTTTAAAAATTAATTCATTTTCTACAGTTATTGTACGACTAAGACAAAAACATATGGTTTTAACTAACAGCTTACTCGGTTTTTATATGCTAGTAACGGAAAGCGTATTTCGATTTCGATACCTATATCGATACCCCCGGCTTATTCGCACGTTATCACTATTACAAAATAAGTCCCAAAAAACGGAATATGAATTAGAATTAGTAAATATAGGCTAAAATGTTAAGGTATAGACATGTGGTGCGCCTCCTGCAGCAGCGGAGTTATTCGGCCGGAGCAGCTAGCAATGGAGGTGGACTACCTGGGGGCGACAAATCCGGCGAGGATTTACACCCAATACGGCGAACACTTCGTTTGCTCGGCAACGATATGCGCAAAGTCAAGGAGTTCTTTGTGCCCAAGGAGCAAGAGCCCGAGGATAAGGGCATCCTCACCCAGAGCAAATTTCAGTTTGCCGGGGAAAAAGGCAGAGATCCCACGCTGCCGGATGACTTCCAGACCCACTGCGATGTGCTTATCATAGGTGGAGGAGGAGTCGGCAGCTCCATCGCCTACTGGCTGAAGGAAAAGGCCCGAGATGGCCTTAATGTGGTGGTGGTAGAAAAGGATGACACGGTGAGTAAATCCTCAATGTCGTATACCCAAAATAACTCTGATTTCCATGATAATTACAGTATACTCATTCCGCCACTCGTGTGTCTGTGGGAGGTCTTTGCCAGCAATTTTCACTGCCCGAAAACATCGAAATGTCACTTTTTGCTGCCGACTTTTTGCGAGGCGCCAAGGTACACTTTGGTGAGGATGTACCCCTGCATTTCACTCCCCATGGCCACCTAATGCTAGCTGGCGACGAGCACGCAGAAAGCTTGATGCGCTCCTCCCAGATACAAAACGAACTGGGTGCCCGCAATGAACTGCTCACAGCGGATCGACTGGCGGCCCGTTTTCCCTGGCTAAACACCGAGGGCATCGTCTTGGGCTGTCACGGATTGGAGAAGGAGGGCTGGCTCAATCCATTGGCCCTGCTCAGTAACTTCAGGCGCACTGCCAGCGGGTATGGTGCTCATTTCGTCAGTGGCCAAGTAGTAGACTTCGAATTCCTATCCCAAACGGACATATCTGTGGTTGCCGGCTCCAACGAGGGTAGTTACACAGGCCTGGACAAGGCTATCATTCAACTGCCCGATGGCACGCGACGCACCTGCAAGTTTGCTCTGTGCGTAATAGCAGCTGGTGCAAGTTCCGGACAGGTGGCTAGACTGGCAAAGATAGGAGTGGGCCCGGGAATGCTTCAGGTTCCCCTGCCCATTGACGCCCGAAAACGGTTCATGTACGCCATCAACTCGCAGGCTCAAAGTGCACCTGGAATGACCATGCCCATGACCATCGATCCATCTGGCATATTTATCCGCAGAGATGGCTTAGGTGGCAACTACATATGCGGGCTGGATTCAATTGAGGAGAGTCAAAGCGCGTCGGTGGACCCGCAGTTCTTTGACCAGCACATCAGATCCAAGCTTGCGAAGCGAGTTCCCGCCCTTGGAGAAGCCCAATTGGTGGATAGTTGGGCGGGTAGCTACGATCAGAATGTCTACGACGAAAACGGAATTGTGGGACCCCACCCGTACTACCACAATCTGTATATTGCCACTGGTTTTAGTAAACATGGAATCCAGCAATCCCTAGCCGTGGGACGAGCCGTATCAGAGCTGATCATGGACGGCCAGTTTCGGACCATTGACCTCTCACGCTTGAGCTTCGACAGGCTGATTGTTGACCAACCCATGTACGAGTTGAATAATGTTTTAAGCTAGGATTGTTGATGGTGCATTAAAGACTAAATGCAGCTAATTTAATGTGTGAATTTCCTATTTAAACTGGCCTGGAGCCGGACCAAAAAGACCTACTCCTTGCTTGCTGGCGGCACGCGATGGCGCAAAGCCCAGCAACTTCTGAATATTCTGGCGAATGGACATTGTGCACAGGATGTAGAGGAAGATAAAGGAGCAGTCCGTGTAGTCATCGCCAGACAGATTCCGGTGGCTTAGGCCCTGGATCCAGGAGATGGGCGTGAAGGGCAGCTGTGCAACGACACGGCCGTCAAAGATGCTATTGAACATGCTCAATAAAGCTGTGAAGGCAAATCCTGTGGCGAACATCGACTTCATCTTGACCAGCGACAGGTCGCGGTTGTTGTTCTTCAGCTTCTCCTCGTCCCGCTCGATTTTCTTCTTTACCGACTTGTCCAGGGAGTCCCCGTGGATCTCCTTCCGGCGCTCCACTGCAAGAAAGTGTGGGTTACCTCGTGACCATTTTCTGTACTCTTTGACCAACTTACGCTTTTTGCTCTGCTTTTCCACCTCGGTCTTCAGCTTTTGGTACTTTTCCGTCCGGTAAACCAGAACCCAGGTGAGTCCTGAAATCAGCAAATGGTTAATACCCTTAATTTGACTGGGTTTTCACTCACCTTCGCCCAGGAAAGCGGTGCACACCGAAATAAATACAATTAATATTGTGTCGGACCACATTTTTTCACTAAATTAATGTTAATAAAAATAAAACATATCGATAGGGCAATGACATACTTTTATAGGTACTTTCGATAGGCGTGATTATTAGGAATAACTATCGATAAATCGCACTTTAATAGCGAGATTCCGGTAACGGTTATAACTTGCTTTCTACTTAAAAAAATATAATATAATGGTTACTGAATAGTTGCTTAACTTTCGTTTGAATTTACATACCTCATAATAAAAGTTATTAAGTTAAAAAATTTAATCTTGAAAAGAATGTGACTAAATTGTTAAGTAACCGCATAAAGATCCAAAAACATGACAAATTTAATAAAATCCTAAGAGATTACTCACTTTTACCATATAAATCGTCCTCCTTAGTTCTTTTCTTCAATTATAAACATACGATTTCTTGAAAGTCGAGCAGAATTAAAGTTTATTTTTCAGACATTTAAAACACATTTATGGTTTTGGCATTGTCACAAGCTTGCCGACTGTTGTTAAATTGTATTTCTAAGTTTATTAAAATTTTAAGAAATATTGATTTTACAATTGATCAATTTTCTGTTTGTTTAATATATAGATGTAAGCTTGATAACTTGCTGCAAGAGTTTCTAGATTCCGATGGTAAGTTTCCATTGCGTTGATGGTGATGCCGGCGCATTTCTCGCGTCGCTGAAGTGGGTTCTTTTTGGGGTGAGGTGACGTTAGGCGCTGTAAAATGCTACATTTAAGGAAAGAAATCAAATCAGGTTATATATATATATGTAATATATATGCTGTATATATGGAACAACAACAATGGGAAAAATAACGAAGAAAAGAGAGTGCGAAATCTCAAAATTAGAATATGGATGTGACGTTGGCGGAAATATTCAAATCGAAGTGCGTTCACTTCAAGTTGAATATTACAACATCAATATATTTATGAACGCAAAACGTTCGAAAAAATAGAAAATATTCGGGTGGTAATGGGACCCTGCAGAAGTTTTAGTTGCTGTTTTATCAATTTCGGTTTTTTTGGATGTTGATGTTGATGTTTTTTTGAGATATTTTCAACGTTTATTTGCTCAATCTCAAGCCTCCGCCTAGTAACGTCGACGCTCCCGCTCGCGACTGCGCGATCGGCGCCGTTCATTTGAACGATTGCGACGTGTGTCGCGCTGGCGGTCACGATCCTTCTCACGCTCTTTCTGGCGATCCTCCCGCTCCTTTATGCGCAGCTTATGCTCCTCGATGCGTTTCTGACGATATGCCTCCTTTTCTGCGATCTGAAAGGAGGATTTAACGATTAAGTAGTGAAAAATATTGTTGTATTGAAATCCATAATAAACAAATTTAAAAAATTTACCCGGATTTCAATAATGAATTATTTTTGGCGCCAACCAAAAATGTATTAAAAATACAATATTTTCCCAACTTACAGCTTCCGGCGTCAGTGGTAGCCAGTAGATGCAAGGCGTTCCCTTAGTCTTACGAAATAGATCATCTAATAGCCTAATTGGCGGTTCATTCTCCTTCCTTTTAGTTTTGGGCACTGATTAACAGAAATATAGATTATTAATAATGATCAAAACTGCACAATATTTAGCTTACCCGGTGATCCACTGCGGCTTCTTGCGTGTGTATTGCGATCGTTGCGCTCTCGTTCCCGTTCGCGGTCGCGTCCTCTCCCTTCCTTGTCCCTGGAGCGTTTGCGTTCCTGTCCGGGGCGATCCGCGTCCCGAGATCTCGAGTCCAGTCCATCCTTGCTCCCTCGACGTCTGTCGTTATTGGTTTTGTCGTGATCGCTCGGCTCCTTTTTGCCCACATCCCATTCGCGTACCGGGCGAACAGGCTGCACGGACAAAAGATAAATTAACCGACTCGCTATTTTTGTTGTTTTAATAATAATCTATTACCTTTTTGTCAGACGGTTCCAATCGGGACCAAGCGTTGCCCGACTGCTGGTTATCTCTGGTGTTTTCCTGGCCATACCTAGGAGCCTCGTCTTTCGTTGAAAGTATCGCACGATCCATGTCTGTGCGACTGCCGAAATCCACATTCAAGCATTTGGGATTCGAGACTGGCCACCGAACTCCGTGCAGGGCATGGCGGGTTTCAATGGCTTCGCTACAAAGGTGAAATGAAAAATAATATTAATTAATAAATTATTCTTGATACCTAAAATTGTCAGCTTATTCCACTAAATCCCGTTGTAAATTGATTCACTAATGGGTTTATTGTATTTGATACGCGATATGATAAAAGAAACACCGCAAGAATAATATTTTAGTACATTGTAGATTACCGAAGTAATTCAAGGAAATTATTTATTCCAGAAATGCTTTAAAAAAAAAGAGTACAGGAGTAACGACAACTAAGAATAGAATAGCACTTTACACATAAACCAATAAATTAAAATAGTTGTATATCTTAAGCTAGCTTTATATAAATAAACAAACAAAAATACTCACTCTTCAGTGGAATAGGCAACAAAGCACTTAGACTTAATGCGATCTATCCAAAAACCATCTTCCTCGACGATCTTTCCCGTCCGCGCCAGCAGTCCTTTTAGCTGCAGCACAGTGAAGGGGCGCACCAGATTGGTGATGTAGAGCACATGACTGGCGCGGTTCCGTGCAGGACTAGGAGAACGGACTATGTGAGGTGCCGCAGTGGCGGCTGTGGCTTTGCTCTGGCCGCCCTGAGGTGGTACCGTGTCTGTGGCTGGCGTCGGAGTGGTCCACCCAGTGTTTCCAGCGCCTTCCTTATTCGTCGACGCCTCTCCGCCGGTTTCGCAGGTTGTGGCGGTATTAACCTCGGATTCGCGTTCCTTGCGCGCCTCGGAGGCTGGCATCGGCGAACCGGATCGCTCCGACTCCCGATCGCTGGTGACCAGGCCCTCCTCCTCCGAAGAGGATTCTAGTTGCACATCGCTGAGAGACACGGGCTGTACCACATCGGCTATTATGTTCTTCAGTGAATCCGTCGAAATGGCAAGCACGGGTGGGGCGCGATCTGATGACTTTTTGTTTGTCAGCCACTTGCGCTTCCGCACCGATCGCTGCTGCTGAAGCACTGGAGCGGTGGTTGTATTGGATGCGCTGCTGTTTACGGATGTCTCGTGCTTGTCGTTCGGAAGATCTGCTGGTTCATCCTGAATTTGTTCTGGTTTTTCTTCTTGTTGCTTGCGGTTCTCCTTCTGCTCTTCCTCCTCCTGCTGTTCCTGTTTCTGCTCCTTGTGCTTCCTCTTGGACTCCCTGCGCTCCGCTGGAGCTGGGGCTTCTTCGTCCCTTTCCTCGACCTCTTCTGTTTGAATGTCTAATACATCGCTAGACGTTTTTAGATGTTCCTCGTCCTTGCTAGAAGGAGAAGGAACTTTTACCTCTTGCTTGCTGCTATCATCCTCGGCAGCTTGGTCATCCTGCTGTGTTTTTTCGTCCTCTTTCTCTGTATCCTTGGCAACAGTGGGTTCTGGCAGGGATTCTTCTACTGGAGCCGGCTCATCCTCCGTTTTGGCAAGCTTTTCAGACTCGCTCTCATGACCCGTTGCTGACGGCTCCAAATCCTTTTCCTCCTCCTGCACACTATCCTTGCCCACATCCTGGCCGTTCTCCGGCTCCTCCTCGGGTATGGTGTCCACCACCTTGTTCTTGTCGCCGCCCTTGGCCTCCGTGCGCTTCTTTGGCGTCGTCCGGCTGCCGCGACTCTTGCGCACTGGCGATGATCCGGATCCGGCACGTTCCTCGCTCGAGGCGCGCCCCTCATTGATTTCTTCGGAGCGAGCGGCAGAGGCGTGAGCCAATTGCGCCTGTCCGGTGTTGTCGGTGTCTGCGTTATCCTTCTGGCCGATGGTCTCGTCCTCGGTCTTCTCGTTCTCGGACACCTTGCGGGAGCGGCGACTACGCCGTGCCACCGGCACCGGAGCGGGCGACGACGACTTTTTTCGCTCGCTGCGCCGTCTCATGGCGAAAATCGCTGGCCACGCGTTGAGATGCACTGGAAAGATCTGAAATTAAACGTAGGTAACGCCGGCGGACCCACAACTATTTCATGCACTGCTATTAGAGTACACTCCTCGTCGTTTCAAGCACCTTTTATCGAACAAGAAAATTTATTTTGCCAGCGAAAGAGCGTCAATCCGCCATCAATATGCAGGGTTGCTTCGGGCCAAATTGAATGGGGGTGGCCTATCGCCCGCATCGTGGGTATCGATAGTTTTTGCAGGGTAGACATCGGTGAGTGAAAATAAACACCTCGCTTTTTGCCGTTTAAAAACTATTTATTAAAATAGATTTCGTAAAATGTATCTTTATGTAAATTTAAAAAATATTAAAATATTTAAAATACATTTTTTGAGCCCTAATTTTAAATAAATTTTGGATAAGATTACATAGACTTAACATATCTACTTACCTTTTGAAAAATTAAGATCTTAAAACGGTAATACGTAAATAATTATTTCATAGATCACAGTCATAAAACATTCAAATATTTGAACACCAAAATTTACAAATTGTCAGTTAAGTTGTTCTTGCAGGTGTCACCTCTAACCAATATGAAAAATAATAAAAAAAAATAAAAAAAACGTTTTAGTAACAAAACTAATAATCGGTTATTATTATGGCATAAACAAATATAACCATCTTTTTATCACTTTTTTTATCACGAAACATTTGAAAACGTTAGAAAATGCATATTCAAAACACTCTTACTGCACTTTGCAACACTGCAGTTCATTTCATAATAATAAATTACAGCAAAATCATATTTTTCAAAACTCCAGCTTAGTTGATATATAAAATGAATTAAGCTCTACAAATATGATTGTGAAAAACATTTGTAGATTGAGCCAAATAATAGGCAGGCTCCGACTTGTCCCGAATCCCAGGGAATACTGTCACTCGGCGCCGCTGAAGCGAAGTAATCAACGGTCGGGATTTGGACCAGGATCACGATCGCTGTGCCTTTATGCTGCAGATCACCAGGTTTCCTGGATAGCTCCACCCACTCCAAGCTCTTCCGGGGGAATGATCTGGGCCTTCTCAGCTGCCTTTACGCTGAATCTGTTTGGAGGCAGCGACGAAAAGGAGGAGTCACCGGAAGACAAGCTAGTAAAGACAATAAAAAGATCAATCCTCTGCATCCAGAGAGAACAGTACGACAAAGCCGAGCAGATGCTCCATCTGGCCCTGCGAATGGCCCAGGATATTCAAAGCAAGGACGGCATCACGTATGTTTTCGATCTGATGGCCAATTTGGCCATGGAACGAGAGCAGTTTAAGAAGGCGGAGAAGATCTTTACGGACGTGATGAAGCGCCTCTTTGCAGATGGCCACACCGAAGAAAGTCCGAAGGTGAGTGAACCACTTAGATTCCTGTTCCAGTTAAGATCTCCTTAATTTTCTTCAGATACTCCACATCAGCTCCAAGATAGCGCACATGTCTCAGCTGCAGGGTGATTTGGAAAAGAGCTTTCAAGGTTTCACCTGGACGCTGAAGCAGTTGTCAAAACTACTGGAGAAAATGCCCGACGACAAGGACATACTGGAGCTGTATGGCTTGACAAAAAATTGGTATTGAAGGTGTTTCCATTGCCGCTATCTAGCTCCCAATTGCAGTTCCAGTCAATGTGTTTCCTTGTGCTTGTCTTTCCAGGTTCGGTCAGCTGCTGATGAAGCAGGGAAAGTACCTAGAGGCCAAGAACCTTTTCAAGGAGGCCTTTGACACGCTAATCGATGTTTATGGTGCTGTTAACGACGCCTCTGTGACTATCCTAAACAACATTAGCGTGGCGTATGTAAACGTAGGTCCTTCTGGTTGCCCAATGTCCTTTGAGCTAACAATAAATATTGCAGCTGGAGAACTACACCGAGGCAAGGGAGACCCTTATGCAGGCCATGGAACTGACCAAGGAGCTGAAGGACGCCACCCAGGAGGGCATTCTGCTGGCCAATCTCGGTCTTGTGTATCTGCGCGAAGGTCTGATGAAGCAGGCGGAGGATGCATGCCGTCGGGCGTGGAAATTGGGCAAGCAGCACGAGAATCCTGACGCCGTCGAGCAGGCCGAGTATTGCCTCAATGAGATAAAAATTACTCTGAACGGGGAAAAGCGTCAGTGAGGTTTCTTTTTACAATGTATTTTTGACTATTTATAAACATTCATTTCGAAGTAAAGCGCAAATTTTGAAGGCTTAAAAACTCTTAAACAACGCTGCCTCGATTATATTGAGAAATAATCGAGTGGACTGAATGTTAACATTTAACAATTTTAAGAAATTTCCCCTGAAATTTAATAACTTCTTTGAGTAGGAATTGGGAAGTTACAATTTCTAAAAACAAATTTCAGAAAATGGTTTGCTGCTTTTTTTCAGCCCACTCAATTAAAACTTTTTTTTGCCTCAACCCACCCAACGCTGGAAACTACTCAAACGCGGCAATGACAATCATTAGGGCTACACCGGTGAGCAGTGCAAAGATCTCCTTCAGCGACTGTTTCAGCTTGGTGGACTCCTCCAGCAGCTCCGGCAGCACGCTTACCGTTGCAATGTAAATGAAACCGCCGGCGGTAAAGGGAAGAACCCAAGGCGCCGATCCGTCGCCGCTTCCGGCTCCCAAAAGGGCTAGAGCTGTTCCCGCCAGTGCTCCAAGGGCTGTGACTAGCTGCAGCAGCATTGCCTTGCGCCTGGAGCACCCCGACTTGATCAGAATGGCGAAGTCGCCAATCTCGTGGGGTACTTCGTGCAGCAGAATGGTGACGGTGGTTACAATGCCAATGCTGTTGCCAGCCAAGTAGGAAGCACCGATAGCAAGGCCGTCGGTGAAGTTGTGGGCAAAGTCGGCTGCCAAATTCAAGTAGCCCGAAATCTCCACTTCGCCCTCCGGTTCGGGTTCTTGTTTCTTCGACTTGGCCTTGGGTTGCTTAGCAGGTTTATCTCCATCTCCGTTGTCTTCCTTGTCAGAAGACTTCTTTTTCGCAGCCACGGGTTTGGGTTTTGGGGCTCCATGGCTATGCCCATGTCCTCCTTGTCCACCCTTAAGTATGCGCACCAGTTTCTCTACCGACAGGAAGGCAATGATACCGCCCAGGACCCATAGGCCAACGCTCATGTCGTGGCTATGTCCGTGTCCATTTTCCTCACCCCCGTGATGATGGTGGTGGTGGCCATGGTGATCGTGATCGTGATCGTCTTCTCCGTGGCTATGAGGGTGCGTGGCATGTGGAATTAAGTGCAGAAAGGCATCGCCCAGCAGGCCGCCGGATGCGAAGGCCAATAGAACTTTGAGACGCGGTTTCATCGCTTCACTGTTGTCGAGGGGAATGATGTAAAGAAGCACAAAGGGCGCTGCACTGATAAGCAGCGTGGAACCGATGGAGTGCAGCCAAATCGTGCTCATATCTATAAGAAAAACGGGGTCAGCTTGGGTATTTGATATATAGAAGCTAGTTTCTTACCCAATGCCGGCTTTGACTTGGTGTGACTTTCTCCGTGATGGTGGTGTTCATGATCGTGATCATGATGGTGATGATCGTGGTCATGGTGATGATGGTTATGGTCGTGGTCATGATGATGATGTTCGTGCCCATGGTCATGATCATGATCGTGGTCGTGATGGTGCTCCGCCGGCGGAGCCTTTTGCGGATCGAAGTTTTCGTTGGCTTCCCGCGAGTATTTGAAACTGGGATTGCCCTGGCCGGCGCATAAAGCCGGGAGGGAGAGGAGCACGGCTCCCAGGATAATGGCCAGGGCCAGCTTCTGGTAGAACTGGAGCTTGCTGCCCTGAAAATCGGCCACTTGTTTGGCCATTTTGTCCTAATATTTTATTACGCGTGGGACAGCAGCTAAAGTGTTGTGACGTGTTTGCTTTTTTTCTTGCTGCCAATTTATCGATGAACAGGAGATGCTTCATCTATCGATTGTTTTCATTAACACAATAAAAGCAACATGTATTGGTTACCCTACGATTTGTTTGACTTTGCTTATTTGTTTAATTTTCCCTGCAAATGGGGCCTACGGTTTTAGTTAGCCCCAGTAAAGATAACAACAATTATAGGTAAACATTAAAAAAACCACAGTTTACACCATATAAAATAAGCCATACACACAGTACTGAACCTAAAAAAGTGTACCTGTACCTATACTTCCATAGGTACATTTTATCTAATCTAGTTAAGAAAAATAAGTATAATAAAACCCAAGTTTTAAGGTTTTTTAAAGTATTATTGCTAAATTTTTTTTTAAATAAAAAAAAACGATAAAATATAAATTTTTAGGGAAACATACATACGCAATGGCCAGAGAAATTAGAAACACCAGTAACTAAATGTGTTGTGCCTTGACCGCTAACATCTATTAAAAAGCATTAATTTGAATTTATATTTTATATTTGTATATTTGCAATTAAATGACTATTAAATATCTTTATGCTTTTAGTTTGTTTCCTATTTGTTTTTATCGTTACCAGACATGGTTAAACGAGGCTAATAACTAGACACGTGAAGGGTGCACAATAATTTGTTTATGTATACGATGCCGTTGATAAACCGTTACAAAAAAGAACGCTTCAAATTCGTCAGTGTTCAATAAATAATTAGTTCGAGTTGCACATGACACGGCAATGTGGGGTTTCAGTGTTGATTTTGTGTATGTATATTTACAAGCCACTTTGGTTGCTGGTTGAATTGCTCCTGATCCTGCTGTCGTTTCCGCTTCCGTTTCCGCCCCTCAGTACAGGTTGATCTTTTTGAGTATTGTCTTGCGACACATGTGGCATGTCCGGAGCGTTTCGGCGCAGTGGGAGCAGGCTCCGTGGCCGCAGAGGAAGGCCACGTCCCGCTTTCGTTCCATACAGATGCCGCAGAAGTGCGATTCCTCGAACTCCTGCACCTTGTTCTCCAGGTAGCGCAGCAGATCCCCGGACGGCAGGCGTGTGGGGTCACTAGGTGACGATGTGGACGTGGGCAGGGCCACAATCCGCCCGCTTACTGTCAGACGGCGCTCGATTACCACGCCGCAGCGCAGGCACTTCTTCATTCGGATGCCGCACTCTTCACAGGCGATCTGATGCTGACATGGCTCAAAGCGCACCAGCTGCAGGATCTCATTGCACACAATGCACTCCTGGGGGCCGGACACGATCACCGGATTGGGACTGGGACCAGCCGCTCCGGCCTCCAACGCCGTGCTGCTCGTGCTAGAGGTCACCGGTGGCTTGGGCGCCTTCTTTCGCGGCGCCACCTGCGGCGAGACATTCTGCTGCACTGCATCCGAGTTCAGTTTCTTCACGCCCGGCGAGGCTGAGGGCGTCGATGGAGCGGCGGCTGCTGATGAGGCGGATGGTATCTCGTTTGGCTTTGGCATTAGATCCAATTGCTGGCGCTGCGGTGGCGTCGGTGCGGTTACATTTGCTGTACCAGCACCATTGGATTCTGCTCCAGCGACCGTTGGCACATCCTCGCCGGAGGTAGCAGGAGCGGACATTTCCAAGGCTTGGAGGTTCCTGGGCAACGCTTCTACTTCTCCCTGCTGCCCGAAGATCAGTTGCCTGATGTTGCGGTCCGTAATCCACTCGAAAATACTTGCATTGGCGTTGTTTAGCTCCACTCGGCAGCCGGCCCTCGAAAGATAGATCAGGATGCTGTACATCAGTCGATCCTCGGCTCGCACGCTCGTCTGCACTAGACTCAGGTAAAATTTGTGGATCTCAGGTGCTTCCTCGGGCTGCGGTTCGGCGGCCGACTGCAGATTGGACTTCTTAATCACGCACAGGTGCATGGCATTGTCTCCATCCTCATCCTTGGCGTTAACGTCGCAGGACAGCCGAACGAGTCGCTCGATCACCCCGGCGTGACCCTGCGAGACGGCTAGTAGGAAAGGCGTTTGCCGGCGATTGTTGCGAATATCCAACTCAGCTTGTCCCTCGGTGACCAGAGTTTCCACAACCTGCGCGTGTCCGTTAAGGGCTGCCAAATGAAGGGCTGCAAAGCCGTCGTCCTTGCGAACATTGACCAGCTGCCGGGAGAGCAGCAGGATTCGGCGGGCGGCCACTACGTTGCCCTTGAGCGCTGCGTGATGAAGCACATTGAAGCCGCGATTATTCTTCACCGTAAAATCCAGGTTGGGGGCATTGCAAAGCAGCTCCACCACTTCCGTGTTCTCCTTGCCGATGGCGTCGTGGAGTGCCGTATCACCGTACGAGTCCTGGATGTTTACGTTGGCGTTATGCTGCAGAAGCTCGCGGACGCAGTGCGGCGTTTTCTTGTGCGCGCATATGTGCAGTGCGGAGCAGTGACTCGAGTTGAGGAAGTTAACCTCAGCCCCATGCTGCAGAAGCACACGCATCGTGGCCGGCTGATTGCCGAAGGCTGCGTAATGCAGCGCTGAGTCGCCTTCCTTGTCAACCGCATTCACATTGGCACCCTTGGAGATGAGGTAACTGACAAGGTCTACGTAGCCCTGGTGTGAAGCCACCTGAATGCAAGCCTTCCCTCCGCTCATCACGTCCACCTGGCCGGGATTCACGTCCAGGTACTGGCGCACGAACTCCAGATGACCCTGGGCGGCCTCCCGTACCAGTTTGTCGGCCACCGAGCTGCCCGAGAGCCCTGAGAGCGGCGTCATCACGTGGTCCGCTCGCCGATGGCTCAGATCCATCATGCTGTTGGAGCGTTCAGCTGCCGTGGCCAGCGGCGAACGTTCCAGTTTGACACATTTCGGATTCAGCGTCCATTCGAAGCCGTCGTCTAGCTGCTGGATGCGCAGGTCACCGTCCGAGTAAACCTTTACGACCTTGCAGATTTTCCCAAGGGCCTAAAATAGGATTTTATTTTAAAATATCTTTAAGTATATATTAATTGCATTCACTTATAAATTCCAAAAACACAGTGTAATACAATAACAACAATGTTTTTAGAACCATTATGAAATCTTCACTTACATATCGCATGATTTCGATCCATTCGCCGTGACCCTTCTGCAACTGCTGCACCTTGTTGGCATCGTTGATAATGGTGACCAGATCACCGACACGAAAAGAGACAACCTTTACGAGAGCGGCGGGATGGAAGGTCCATCGATTGGGACAGTTCTCATACTGGACACTGTTAAGTTTTCTAATTGTGTTAGAGAGCCTAATACGTTTAAACGTACTCCAAATTCTCACCGTATGTCGCCCTTGTCCGTGATGCGATGCACAGTGCCCAGTTTGGATAAATGCTCGACCATGCGCGGATTCCATCCTCCATGGCCCTGCTGCAGCTTCATCAGGGCATCCACTTCCAGACAAACCTTGACGCGGTCGCCCACAGAGAAGCTTGGCTTCACCATCGGCGCCACCGGCTGCAACTCCTCCGGCTGCCCCAGCACAGGCATGTGGTCCTTGTAGTAGTGACCGCCGCACGTAGCAGTTATGTACTTGAGGTCCACGTTACCCTTGTGGCCCAGACGGTAGACGTTCGTCGATCCGGTTACCCACGATACGTTGGCCACGCTGCGACACGATTCGTTATCCCAGCCCCGGATTTCCATTACCCGCCCCGTCTTGCCCTCGCCGCCGTCCTGTTCACTCCACTCCCAATCAGGACCGCGCACCACCTTGGATCCGACGAAGATGCCGCGCAGTTGGATCCGCTTGGAGCCCTTTCTCGTTGGCACTCGTACGCCCAGCGAGTTTGGCGAGGTGTAGCGGACAAACGGGTGTTCTGAGTCGTGCAGATCCTCTGCGTAGCAGTAGGCGCAGAGGTGGTAGTTGGCACACTGGGCGCACTTGAATACTATGCCGGCAATGCCCGCCTTAGAACAGCCATCGCAGACGACATTCGAATGACGAACTCCTGCGGATGAACAATTAGAATGTTAAGCTTAGCAAAAAGTAAATAGTTATTCTTTCTTTTAAAACTTGCTCGATTGACCAAATTCGAATTGTAAATGTAAAGATTTTTACTTACCAACTTGAGCATTATCCACAATTATCAAGTCGTACTGGTTTTGATAGCCCACCCGGTAGTTGGTCCGGTGTCCGGAATCCCAGTTGACCACGACAGTGTTTTCCGGTGAGTGTGTGGATCCGCAACGTCCGATTTCGCAAACGGTTCCAACGTGACCTTCTCCGTCGTCTGTTGCGTAAGGAATGAAATAAAGTTGGAAGCGATGTGAAGTGAGTTAGCAAGATTAAGTTGGGAATCTATGTAGCTGCACCCAGGCTCCTCCTTGCATTGTATGCACATCTACATCCACATCCGGTGGATATCAGACATCTGTGGCGCACACTTCCCCCTCATAAACAACGCGCCATGACTATAAATACCCACAATCATTGACTCTGGCTCGGGCTCCAAGCGGATTTTGTTATGCACTCGGACTCGGTCGTGCAGCTGATCTATAATTACCCCAAAACACGGGTGTGGATGTGGAAACGTTCTCTAGAGGGTGACATTTGATGTTGGCCTGGGGAGGAATGGGAGCACCGAAAGTTGTGCTCCCGTCTGAAACTTTTGTTTATGTCTATTTTCAACGCACCCCAGCTAAAGAAATACAGTGGCCCTAAAATAAACTCTCCACATTCTCCCCAATCTACAGGCGCGCTGGAACTAAGAACTCGCTATCTCCACCCGGTGACTAAAAATAAACACTCGAAAAAGGTTGGAGACAAAATGGCACGCGCCCTTGCCGCCTGATGTGCTAGCCAGACATATGCCAGAGGCTTATTTCCCGAACGGGAACTGAAATTCAGGAAGGGAGGAACACATACCATGACCTAATCCGTGTGTGCATTTACTGCAACCAAGTGCAGCTGCAGTTGGAGCCTCCAATAGGCTCAAAGTATTATTCAGCTAAAAATATTTCTGGGAAATACCCAGCACTTTTGGATTCTATATCGGGTGTAATAGTAATACAACTATTGATATATAACTGTCATAGATTCTAAAAACTCGAATGTTTTTATTGGCTAAAAAACTATAAATGTGTTGAAAACTATTATTATTGTTCTTGAATTCTATTTTAACAAATGTAGTTTTCTGGTCTATTAAATAGACATGCTATTTAAATGTAATTGCTTTTGTAAAGGATAGTGGGCGTCATTATTAAGTTGCCAAACGTCTGCAGCGTTGTAAAGTTATAGTATTTTCTGGGGTTTTATAATTTTAATCTGATTAAGAGGTAAACTGCAGGCGGTTTAGTTTCCGCTTTTCTCTATGAACTTTAAGTTCTAAGTGTTCTTTGCGTATGATACGAATTATTTCCAGCTAAAGACAATTAATTCAATTAAAAACTACGCAATATTATTGTTTGGCGAGCAGCTGCCTACGGGCATATTTACCTGCCACGTAGGGTGCTATAGTGTATATGTACTATCGAGAACCACACATCCCGCCATATATGTATGAACCATAAAACGAAGCGACGAAAGCAGAAGCAATTGGTAAGCGCAAGAATTTCGCTGCTGCCGCAGTGAGTGTTGCTAAAAATAGCGAGGCGCGTCCTCTTTACATACAACAACGCCCCGAGCAGCAGCAGCGGACACGGACGTACACCTCTCCGTTCCGCCGCCCCCGAAACCCCCCCTCCCTCCCCGTCCAGCCACGGGTGCCAATGCCAAGTGAGTTTAGTTTCGGGTATACAGTAAATATTGGTCACAAAATAAGTCCCTTCAAAGTAAAATTTTCCTCGTAGTCTAATGAAATTGGATTGATTTTAGAATACTTTTTGTATTGAGCTATATTTATTGGGTAACAAATATGATTGCTATATAATAATACTTATTCCTTATCAACTTTTGAATACGAAATTAAAAGATCTGATATTTTTATTTTGTATTGTAACTTATTGGATCTTAAAAATGGCATGAACATGAATACTTGCATTTTAAGATCAGTAATATTCTTCACATCCTAATAGTATCAACGTAATATTATTTATTGCCAATAATCATTATAATCCTGATGTATAGCTACTACATTATGAACATGGTAAGTTTTCAGAAACTGAAAACATCAAAATCGTACAAATTTATAAATGTTTTTATCTTAAGAAAATTCTGTTTTAATTTGAAACGTGTATGATAATGGGTAGTCTATTTAGGATTGAATAAGAGAAGACATGTGCTATCCCAATAAATATGAAATTACTGATTAAATATCTTAGTTTCCCTTGACTAATCTCTACCGTACTCCGATTTCAGTCTATACTTTTTAATAAAAACACACGTTCATATGTATTTATAAACAGAGAGCGGATGGTAAGTTAATTCCCCCTTCGGAGGTGGGTAAACAAGTTGGCCCGTGGCTGCCTGGTTGCGTTCTTACCTTGATTCGACCAGATCCAATTGGGTCCCCTCACCACCCGAATGCCAGGCGGAATGGAGGCTCGCATGGCGCTTGGTTGGCTCAATTTATGTAATTCCGTTTTAGCCTGCAAGGATAAGGATAGCATAAATGTGACATTTGACATTACTCGGGGTGCGGAGTTTGATGGGACCTGGCTGATAATTGGGTCAACTAACTGGCACCCTCGTCAGCGCATGACTAAAAAGGAGAGGCGCATTTCGTGCCACAGAAATCTTTAGAGGTTTAAGAACACTTTGAAAAACAGAAAAAACCAGAACGTCTTATTTCCAGGTTTAAAATATATCGTAGCACTTTTTCAGGAAACTTTACAAATGATATTAAACCTCTAGAGCTTTCTAAGGCGCCCCAAAAATATTTGGGGTGTTTATATGCAGGGACTTCGGAGGGGGGAACTTGGTATTTAAATTCGAGATATGTGAGGCCTTCCCGATCGCCAGTGCTTCGGTTCCTGGGAGTCCATGTTTTGTGGTGCGGGTGCAGCCCAGTGGCTCGTCGTATGACGCATGCCGATAAGACAGATTGATATGTGTACATACATATATACGGCCTGGGATTCCAATTCTTCATTGCCTCGATGATAAAGCCAATAGTGGGTTTTTTTTGGTCAAATAAATTCATTCAAAATAATTGACCCGCATGTATTGTTTACGAAAGTCCAAGCACTCACACTAACGTCGGATTTGACATCACATATCGGGTATATATGTATATATATATATATGCGTATATGTACATAAGCAAAATCGGGTATGGTGAAAAATGATTATTGGGGGCATGTCTGATGGCTTACCAATGCAACTTTTGATACTCTCGCTGCTCCCAGCTGTTTGCAATGAAAAACTTTAAGTTCTGAGGCCTTTAATGGTGCATTTTATGCGCGCGTGCGCTTTTTATTGGGCATTTAGTGTTTCCTTTCGCTAAATTGCAGGGGCACCGTTGCTACGGTGGTCAGAAGGGGGCATAGTTCACTCGAACGCGAATCGTTTCTCGCAATATTTTAACACGCCGGTAACGCACGAATCGCCGACGTTCTCAGGCACATTACAATTTGATATTTATTGGCCAAAATTCACAAATTTGCTAGCACTAAAATATACAACTTCAATTTGGTCTGCTTCTTCTTTCTTTAGGTATGGCCTAAGGGTGGCCGTGCAAAAATCTATCTGCAATCGATAGTTGACGATAGTCGATGGAGCAATCGATGGTTATGAGAGAAATATCAACAAACACATGTTAATTTGTTTTTGGCAGTCTGCAGCTGTGTTTACTGTTTACTGGTGTTTGGCTAGTTATTTTTTTTCATGCTCGTAATAGTGTGATGAAAAGGGCTGCTAAAATGGACCAATTGACGTATCAGACAGCTGTTAAAAAGGGTAAATTTACTTGCTATCTGTGAGTGCAGTGAGGTAAACAAATATGTGTATTTTTTTTAGCCCAACTGGTCGAGAGGAACCCCCAGTCCCAAATAGATCCCATGCGGGTTTCTATGCATCAGGAGGAGGACATCATAGCCCTTGCCCAACAAATCCAAAATGCAGACAAGCAGTTGAAAAACACTACCTGCCATAAGTTGGGTGTTATAATGGAACAGGTAGATACAATTCTTGTTTAACTAAGTTTCATGCACTAATATGTAATTAATAGATCAAGATGCTCCAAGCCCAAGCTATGGATATTCTAAAAGAGTCCAATCTTAACCGAGATCTTCACAGTGCTGCCTGCAATTTTACAAAAAAACCCGGTAAAATATACTATCTATATCAAAGGGCATCGGGTCAAAACTATTTCAGCATGCTATCACCGGAAGTGAGTTTTGTTTTGCAATTCTTTTGAACAAACTAATTATAATCGCTTATGTTCTAGGAATGGAATCTATCTGTTGACCAGACCTTTAAGGGCAGCTATAGGTTGGAATTCGATTTGAGTTGGACACCTGTGGAAAAGATTAAAGAGCAGGATGAGAAGCTCAAGTGGGCGGAGGAATGTATGCAAAAGGCTCTGGATGGTGGGAGAGGTTCGGCCATGGCCATCGACTTTAATATCAACAATGATTAAAATATATTAAAATGTTTTTAAATATATTTTTATTTTCAATATGCAAAGTCCATCTTAAGAAAACAAACTATAACTAAAAGAAATAAATAAATAAAAGTATTACTAAAAAAGGACTCATATTTAATATCGATATGGCAAATGCATTTCAGTGCCTATCGATATCTGCCCTGCAATACGATTTCTGTTTTTGTTTTTAGTGCAACAGCTGATCAGCTCTCTTTTTTGTGAAATTGTGAATATTTTTAGTTTGTTTTGTTTCGTTTAGCGTTTCGTTCAGACCCGCAACATGTCCGCGTCCAAGAACGAGATGTACTACAGCCTGCTGGAGTGGTTCAAGACCCTCAATTTAAATGCGCCGCACGCAGATGCAGAGTCCCTGGCCGACGGAGTTGCTCTGGCCCAGGCGCTGAATCAGTTCGCCCCCGAATCTTTCACCGACGCCTGGTTGTCCAAGATCAAGGCCAGCGCCGTGGGCAGCAACTGGCGGCTACGGATGAGCAACCTGAAGAAGGTCTCCCAGTCGGTGTATGACTATTACAGCGAGGTTCTCAACTATTCGCTTAGTGATTTCTCTAAACCGGATCTTCAGCGAATTGCTGAGAAATGCGACCTGGGCGAGCTGGAGCGGCTGCTGCAGCTAGTTCTCGGGTGCGCTGTCAACTGTGCCAAAAAGCAGTCCTATATCACCGAGATCATGTGCCTGGAGGAAGAGCTACAGGCAAACATAATGCGCGCATTGCAGGAACTGGAGTCCACGAGGCAAGCCTCCTCCCCGGAGGGCGGTGTGGTCAGCTCCCTGTCGCGCAGCTCCCTTAGCGGAATTCTGGATAGCAAGGCTGTGCAAGAGGAGCGCGACGCCATGGCCCAGAAATGCTTTGAGACCGAGAAAAAAATGCTGCTGCTGATCGACGAGAAGACCAATCTGCAGCAGGAGTTGCAGAAGCTACAGCAGGAGTTTGCCCGCCTAGAGCAACATTCCACGGTGATCGGCGACGATGGAGTCTCTTTGGGGCCTGTCCAAACTGGATCTGTGCGCTACAATGAGCTACGCCGGCAGTTGGACCTTCTGAAGGAGGAGCTTCTTCAGTCCGATGGAGCACGAGAAGATTTAAAACTCAAGGCCCAGCAACAGGACACCGATATTTTGCAAATGCAAATGCGCATCGAGGAACTGATGGTATGGATACCTAGATAAAATAAACCTTACCTTCTGATCTCACCAAGATAATTATAGTATACAAATCTTTTTAAACCTTGATTGTATTTTTCTCTACTTATGTTACCCACAGAAAAGCTCTGCTGAAGTGACCACCCTCAAGGACGAGGTGGACGTTCTAAGGGAGTCCAATGACAAACTAAAGATATGCGAGGCCCAACTTGACACGTACAAGAAGAAGCTAGAGGACTATAACGACCTAAAGAAACAGGTCAAGATCCTCGAGGAGCGCAGTGCCGACTATGTGCAGCAGAACGCGCAGTTCGAGGAGGACGCTAAGCGATATGCCAACACCAAAGGTCAGGTGGAGCTGTTCAAGAAGGAGATCCAAGACCTGCATGCCAAGCTGGACGGAGAGAGCAGTAAGAACGTTAAGCTGGAGTTTGACAACAAGAATCTAGAGGGCAAAAACCTGGCGCTGCAGCGTGCAAAAGACAGTTTGCTAAAGGAGCGCGACAATCTCCGCGAAACCGTCGATGAGCTAAAGTGCGGGCAACTGTCCTCAAATACTGCGCTGACAGGCACCACCGTTTCCCGGGAGTTGCAGCCGTCGGCCACAGTAGAGAAACTACAACGTCTGGAGGCGGAGAACAAGGCGCTGCGCGAGGGGCAGGGTGGTCAGACTGCTTTGGCGGTGAGTAATCAAAGATAATATTACTTAAGAATTTTATATTAATAGGAATTTTTTTGTAGCAACTTCTGGACGATGCCAACAAGCGCTGCGAGAATTTGCGTGAACAGCTGAAGACAGCAAATGAACGTATTCTTTCCCTGTCGCATGCCTCCCAAAGCGATGATCCCATTTTAAAAGAGTAAATATATTTTTTTAACCTCGACAATTTTTCTAAACTAAAATTGCATCATTACATTCTAAATACCCTACTAATTCTGTTTAATTTCTTCAGAAATATTTATTTTATATCAGAATAGTGGTTATTTTTTTTATTTGAAACTAACTTTTCTTTCATCACAGGAGCGAGTTTGGCAAACAAATCAAGCAGTTAATGGAGCTTAATGAACAAAAGAGTGAGTACAAAATAAAATTGTGAAATAAACTAAAATAATTTGTTACTTGTGTATGCAGCACTCCAACTGGAGGAAGCAGTCACTCAGAGCACTTCCCTGCAATGTAAAGTGACCCAACTGGAAACAAATTTATCAGCACGTGAGCAAGAAATTTTGGCGTATGACGCAAAATACCGGAAATGCGTGGAGAAAGCCAAGGAGGTGATCAAGAGCATAGATCCACGAATTGCCAGTGGTAAGATATATAAACAGATAACGTATTATCTGGATATAAAATAGTTCTTAAATTCCAGCTCTAGATGCTAGTGTCCTGGAAAAGAGTGCTGAGCTCGTCGAGGAGGAACCCAAGCCTAAGATGAGCGTAATGGAGGAACAGCTGATGACGTCCGCCTTCTACAGGTTAGGTGTGAATGCCCAGCGCGATGCAATCGACTCGAAGCTGGCCATCTTAATGGGCTCGGGCCAGACATTCCTTGCCCGCCAGCGGCAGTCGGCGCCTCGTAAATCCCTAAGTGCAATGAAATCAAAGTAAAAAGCATGAACCTGATGTGTAGGCTAAGTCTCATTTCTTGTTTGAAAATTTATATAAATAATATATATTTCAAGTATTTATTGGACCTATATGGATCTATATCGTATTTATAGAATATACCTTAATAAAATTACTAAAACTATCTAAAGGCGAAAGTGAAGCTTTTAAATTGTTCACTATTTTTTCTGTCCATGGAAATAATAGCTTACAATTTTCCACGGAACCACCCACCTTTAAAAAAAACATTTCATTTTTTAGTAAATATCTTAGCTTTTAGTATTGAATTAAATACATTTAACGCAGAGTTCGGGGCAAAAACAAATGCACACATAAATGAAGGGGTCGCCCTTTTTGGCTCTGGAACCCATCTTGTAGAGAGTCACTCGGGCATTGGCACAGGTAGGAAACGCAATTGGGAAAGGAGCAGGAGCTACACAGACGAGCGGTAATAACAATAGGTATCATCCTTTAATTGGCGATCAGTTGGGGTTGCGAACCGCCGGCTGCCGGCTGGTTTTTCACTCAACTAACTGGTGCAGTCTACATACTTGGTACATAGGATCTCTGACCCACCGGTTCACCAGGGTCGCCACATGCTCTCATCCTGTCCAGCTGCTGCTGCCGCTGCAGCCGCCGCCGCCGCCTGGGCCATGTAGTGGTACTCCTCCTCCTGGCGTTGTCTTAAAGCCTGGCGAGCAGCGTTGCTCGTCTGGGGGCGTGGACTCGTCACCGGGGCCTCGTTGTCATTGGAGCCGATGCCACTCTCGGATCGAGGCGATGATTGCTGTGTGGCGGGCATGGACTTGAGTTCCGACATCGAGACACCCGAACTGACAGAGGCTGCCACCGAGGCTGGTCGCTCCTGGTGGCCTGATGGCGTTCCCGTACCGGAAGTGGCCATGGCGGAAACGGTGACTCCGGCGGAAGCGGCCACCGCCATGCTGTTGGCATAGGCTGCAGCTGCAGCGGCAGCCACATGGGCCGCCTCCAGTCCACCGGGAAAACTGGGACTCAGCTTCCCGGCCAAATGTGGTTGCACCCTTTGCAGCTCGATCAACCGCTCGAAATCCGTACGAGTGGCTATCGGATCCACCAGGGGCTGGGCACTCAGGCCAAGAGCAGCCGCTAGTTGGACATAGTGGGGCGGCAGGACCAGGACACCGTTGGTTCCGTCGGGTTGCTGCTGCACCTGTGCCTTAAGCTGCTGCTTGTACTGCTCCAGCACATTGGCGCACACTTTGTTGCGATCCTCCTCGTAGCTCAGCTCACTAGGAGCGGCTGCATCCTGCGGCGATGGCTGACTTTGTGGCTGGCCTTGCACCTGAATCGGAATCGGAGTTTGCGCCTGCGCCTGCAGTCCACGATTGTTGTTCTCGTCCTGCGGCACCGGCGTGGCGGGCAGGGTTCTCTGTTCCGTGGCCACCAGCTTCAGACCCTTGCTGTAGTCCAGAGGATTCGAGTCCTGACTGCTGTAGTCCAGGGAGTGCTCCTCCGGCTGGGCCTTCTTTGGGTGGTTCAGATCGAAGCAGCTACTGCTGCTGGGACTCTCCGCAAAGGTGGCCGTCGAGTGAGGACAGATCTCCACGTCAATCTCGGCGATGCACTGGTCCAAGTGTCTCAGGAGTCGCGCCTTGGAGCCGGGCTCCGCCAGCGTGGGCATGGTGCCCAATGGCGGTGGTTCCGGGGTGGCCAGGTATCGAGCCACTTCGCGAGCGCAGTCCGTGTAGCCCGCTCGGTATTTGTTGACCGCTGTGGAGAAGAGTAAAGTTGGCTTATCGTTAGTTATTTTAAGAATTAGAATTTAAATTTATAACCATTAACAAAATTTAAAAATTTGTACCTATTTAAATTGTTATTTTACAATTTTGAGAGTGCGTTTGTGTTTAGGAAAAACGTATAAAAAAAACATTTGTTATGTTTTTTAGAGCTTCTTTATTATATTTTTATTGAAAATAATTATTTTACGTTGTAAAGATTTAACAGATATATTCTTAAGGTTAAAATAATAAAAATGCAAGACTTAAAAACCTTTCAGATTTATTTTTTAAGAAATAAAAATCAACATTACCCCACATTTATGTTTGGATTATTAAATTAACGCACTTTTAATTATTTTAAAAACAAACCGTTTGTAAAACAAATCGTATGTATATTTATTAAGCTATAAGGACTTAGATTTTAAGAGGGGATGTACTCACTGGGATCATCGAGATTGCGATGCCGCTGGAAGTGTCGAACGGTCAGCTCCAGAATGTCGGCCTTCTCCAGCTTGGTGTGCTTCGCCTGGCCCTCGCCGTTCTTGGCATTCTGGCTCTTGGTGGACTCGAGGATGAGGGCCTTCAGGATGGCCAGGCTCTGGTTGATGCGCGCCCGCCGTCGCTTCTCCATGAGTGGTTTGTTTGTCCGCTTGCTGATGTCCTGCGACGAAGTCACATTCTGCGTCGAGCTAACCAGCCCGATGGACTTTATGCCGCTGCCATTGGTTGAGCCGGCGGCGGTGAATCCGATGCCTGAACGGAATATCAAAATATTAATTATAGATGTAGATTGATCTGCGGGTGCGATGGGTTTTAGTAAAACCAAATGATAAAGATGTCGCACTGACATCTAAACAGACAGCTCTTAATTTTTTGAAATTTTTAAAATATTGTTATTATTTAACTTTGTCAAATTAAAGAGTAGAACTTTTGATACTTGTATTTTACGATTAAAATCGTCAGACTGGTTTTTTCAAATTCTTTTTTTGATGCTTTGTTTTTGGTTTATTTCGCCACAGGTGTCTTTTTTCTGCCGATTTCGTGGTTTTCACTAATTTATTAGCTGTTTGAAAATCATTGTCATGTTCTGGTCCGCTTACACTTTTTATTGATATATAAAAGTTCTGAACCGGAGGTGTATTACTACTTAAGCATAAGGGTTTTTTTAAAGATCTAAGTTTTTAATTAGTAGTACAACATTTTACAATTTACGTTTTGCGTTAGAACTACTTTTTTCTAATATATGTTTCAAGGAAACATTTCCCGATTTAAAGTTTGCATTAAACTTTTTTGTTAAGCGGATCAGATATAAAATTGTATTTTACCAGGTGCTGATTTATTTTTCGAGTAATCCTTATCACGTTTTGCTGTCATTTTCTCATTTTTACGAAATCCACGCGAATTCGTTGCCAGTTAAATATTAATTAAAGTGTTGCCTTTGGTTTATTTAAATAATTTTGAATTGTTTAGCTTAGAGTCCGCGCCAACAATTACGTCTTTTGGTGGTTGTTCAAACACTCGAATTCCGTTCGGCAAGGACACACGTCCGTACTGTTCGAGGATACACGGCTAACTGAAGGCAAGGACCAAAAACAACAGCGACTTTTCACTTCATCGCTTGTCGGCTGTCTGGCTGGCTACTGGGTTTTCCGATTTTCCGCTGCCGCGTGCGTTTCGTTTGTGCAAAATTTCCCGACTGAAATGCTTGGTTAGCTCATGTTGCTGCCGTTGCTGTTGCTGTTTCTGCTGCTGCTGCTGTTGGTGTTGCTGTTGGTGTTGCTGTTGGTGTTGCTGATGTTGCTGCTGGCAGTGGCACGAGCCAGGCGGCCGTCGTCGTGTGGCGCAGCAACCAAAGCAGATTGGAGTCAACCGACAATAAAAGCAACAACAACATCACCAGCAGCAACAACAACAACAACAGCAATCAGCAGGAGCGGCAGCAACAACAGCAACAGCAACGCCTGGCTGCCTGCCACGTTAATGGTGGTTGTGGTAATGGTTGCCCCACCGACCTCCACACAGACATGCACACATAGATTTGGCCAGAGCTTAACGACGCAGCGGAGGCATGTTGCCAGTGGGCGGTGGGTGGTTGGATGGTTGGGTGGTTGGGGGGTTGGGCAGAGGGATTGGTGGCGCGCTGGCTGCGGCAAATGTCAGGCAGCCCAAGCGACAAGCCGGATCGACGTGCCGCCACTTGGACGGACGGCGTGACCATGTCTGGCTTTCACACACACACACACACAGGCATAGACACAGGAACCCACACACAGGCATACAAATCAATTCGCTTAGGCGCAAATAGGAAATTACCCAGCAAACATGGCGGATGAATTTTAGCTCCTGGACGAAAAGCAGAGCATACTTTTTGGGGCAAAATAGGGCAATCGTCATTTGATGAGCATTGAATGATGTCAGTGAACTCTAGAACTTATATCTTCTATTTAAAATTAAAAAACTAAAACTACCCTTTGTAAGTGGATTTTTCAAAATAATAAAATTTATATATTGAATGTCAAAAAAATTTTATTTTTTAACAATTTTCTTATTTTTATTTGTCTAAAAACTATCATATTTCTTCGTTTTATTAAAGTGTTCTGGTTAAAATTGTTTTAAATTATAATTGTGTATATTTTTTTCAATTCATTAGATTAGATTCCTTTAACGACTTGAAAATCTAATACTTTAAATTTTAATATTTAGTAAGAAATGTTTTCTAGAGTAATGGCTTTTCTAAGTAATTATTTTTGATACCTAAAATGTTTGTTATATTTTCTTTAATTTTTAACTGTTGTCTTGGGCACTTTGCTTGTTGGGTGGACTGCGTCAACGGCGTCAGCAGGCGGGTTAGCCGGAGTCGAGACCGGGACCGGGGCTGTGGCCTGCGGGCGACGAAGCAGCTCCTGCTCCTCCGACCAACTGACTGGGGGTCGTGCGGGGTCAGCGGGGATGGGAGGGGGTGGGGATTGCGGGGGTGGCTTGCTGTATGATGAGAGCGGGGTGTGTGGGTGTTTGCTGTCGCTGACTTTGCCATTCGGCTGCCCGCATTGAAATCATAACACCAACGAGGCGAAACTTCTGCGGCGCGGCAGTCGTGGCAAATAATAAGCCAGGCCAGCGGAAAACGGAGGAGGAGGAGTGTGGCAGTAGCAGGAGCAGGAGCAGGAGCAAAGGAGGAGCAGTGGCTGTGGCAGTGGCAGGAGCCAGACGAAGACAACTGTGACAGCGGCAGTAGAAAGGACTATTAGATAAATACGCTTGCTGGTGCGAGTTTGGGGAGCAGTGCCGTGGCAACAAAGTTGATGGCAACAAATTGGCGGGGA